AAAATCAAGTTCTGCAGCACCTTCAATTTCAAACTTTTAGAACCAGGATTTAAGTTACAAGGCTTACCAACACAGTGCTGTTTTGAAAGCACACATTTCCAGAATGAAATCATTACAGAAATGCCCACAGGTTATAATTTAATGCTAGCTGTGCAATAAGGGTATAAAGCCAGGGAATCTAAAAAATCTAGTGAAGGCTGTTTTGTGAATCAGGATTCCAGAGGGCTATCGAGTGTTCCCAGTGAGTTCGCACAAGGGACAGAAGATTGCTAGCAATTTCTGATGAACATTACAAGTTATATTCCATTGCAGTGATAGGAAAGAGAAGACTAAAGATATGCTAGCAGTAATCCTCCCGGTGGCTGATTCTCCTGGGAGGAATCAGAAATTCCCTACAGAGAACCATGCAGCATTTGCTATGTGGGGAAAAAAAACCCACAGTCATTGAAAACAAACAGTACAGATTGGCATGTGGTACAACCTTTATTAAACAAACAAACAGACAAAACCCCCTTCACATTCAAGATCTTCTTCTATTCGTTACAACCTCATTGATGAGTTAGCTCCTTAGCTGCTAACAACTGAATACCACCAGCCTAGAAAACCCCACAATTAGAAGACCTATTGGTCGCATTCGGCAGCAGCATCAGAAATTCTACTTCTTCAAACTTGTGTCTGGTGAGAGCTCACAGACCTGTGAGTAAGTGTGTGTGTGCAGTTCCTCTGAACATACACAGGACACTGATGAGTAAAAAAAAGTCTTGATAAAAGCAAATAAATTGACATCATAGAATGTTTTAGGTTGGAAGAGACCTTAAAGACCATCTAGTTCCAACCCCCATACCACGGGAAGGGACATCTTCCACTAGACCGGGGTGCTTAAGGCCCTGTTCAAACTGGCCTTGAACACTGCCAGGGATGGGGCAGCCACAGCTTCTCTGGACAACCTGTGCCAGTGCCTCACCACCCTCACAGTAAAGAACTTTATCCTAATATCTAATCTAACTCTACCCTCTTTCATTTTAAAGCTATTCCCCCTTGTCCTTTCACTACAGTCCCTAATGAAGAGTCCCTCCCCAGCATCCCTATAGGCCTCCTTCAGATACTGGAAGGCTGCTATGAGGTCTCCACACAGCCTTCTCTTCTCCAGGCTGAGCAGCCCCAGCTTCCTCAGCCTGTCTTCATACGGGAGGTGCTCCAGTCCCCTGATCACCCTCGTGGCCCTTCTCTGGACTTGTTCCAACAGTTCCATGTCCTTTTTATGTTGAGGACACCAGAACTGCACACAATGCTCCAGGTGAGGTCTCACAAGAGCAGAGTAGAGGGGCAGGATCACCTCCTTCAACCTGCTGGTCACGCTCCTTTTGATGCAGCCCAGGATACGGTTGGCTTTCTGGGCTGCGAGTGCCACTTCTGGGTAATATTCAATTTCTCACAGAGTAACACCCCCAGTTCCCTCACCTTAGGCCTGTTCTCAATCCATTCTCCACCCAGCCTGGGTTTATGCTTGGGATTGCCCTGACCCAGGTGCAGGACTTTGCAGGGTATATAGGAAATAGTAATGCAGGAGCACCCCAGAAGGCTTATATTGATGACTAATACACTCAAGCATATTGAGAGGACAATTTTCTAAGTAAGTGGCTAGAGAGAGGTTTTTAAATATTTTTTCTAATAGATGCTGCTCAATGTACAGTGAATACCAAATGTGTCTTACACTGGAGAGAAAGAAGCAGATGTGATTTGGTCTCCAGCTGTGAAGGGAGTTAATTTCAACATTTTCACTCAACAGCAAAGGATTTTTGTCTCCTGTGTGGATGAAAAATATCCTTTTGATAAAGCATCTAAAAACTAGAGGTGTCAACCAAAGCCATCATTATCACTGAACTTTGGCAACCTTTTAAAGAAGCAATGACAACTCAGTCATGAGCACCTTCCAGATAAGTCAGGGTAGCCTTAATTTTACTTAATATAACCTAGGAAATGAGAATAAGCTTAAAATCCTGAACATGTTTTCTCTGCCCACCAGCATAACCACTACCTTGCTTGTACTCAGCTTCAAAAGGCTACTCTTCATCCAAGGGCTGCCGTCATCCTACTACAACAATTTCCTCATGGGAATAATGAGCTGGTACACAACAGAAGATACATAGGACTGTGTTATTCTTCAGTCTGGTGCTTGAGCCTGGACTGGACTCTGCTGTAGCTGAATGCAGAAACTTAGTGGGAGTGATGGAGACAGCTGATCTTCACAAATGTGGCGGAGACTTGTAGTGGAGAGATCTCCCACCTCAATTGTATCTCTCCCAGTAGTATATAAACATTTTGGCCCATATCTGCCCCCTCTCTCTGTAGCTTACTGAGCCTAATATTGCAAGAAAACCCAGAATGGAAGTCTTCCATCTCCCACAGTCAGGAAAACAATGAATTAAAAAAGAAACCTTTGCTACTGTTAATGAGAACAATCAGCTCTCGAGTCATGACTTTTGGCTACACTTCTGCCACACTTCTGGAAGTTATCAGTGTAACTGTGACTCTGCAACAACAGAACTAAGTTAGACATCACTGAAATCATGAGGCTTCCAGCAACGACTGTGTGACACTGCTCCACTGCAGTCAATGACCAGGAAAGATGCCATGGTTTGAAGACCTCCGGAAGAGGTGGCAGCGTCTTCAGGAGGCATTATCCAAGACTCTCTGAAAGTCATTCTGTGAAAGGAACTGGCTGATGTGACTTAGAGATGCTTCATGGGCATGTGGAAGCTTACAGTGCCTGAGCCGTTCCAGGTACCAGAGCAGCAGGACAGATGACTGGGTTTTGTCTCTACTTTGTCTTTCATCAATGTGCGTAAATGTAATGATGTCTTCAAACAGCTTCATGACTCTGTAAGAAGCAAAGCAAGTAGCCCCAGAGCAGTGTGCCTGGGGCATTCATGTGAGTTTTCTGCATGGCCTAAATATTTGAAATGCACTATTTAATGTACATAAGGCTCAGGCCTTCCCTGTGAAAAAGTATTACAGGTACTTCGAAGTCTGGCAGGCCGAATAGAGGGAGCTGCTGCAACCAGTAATGTAATCTGGAAAGCAAGCAGGCTGTGCTCACAGGCTTGTGAAATAACCAATAATGTCAGGGATGTCCCTTCAGCACTGGTGAGGCTGCACCTCAAATCTTGAGTTCAGTTCTGGGCCCCTCACTACAAGAGAGACATCGAGGTGCTGGAGCAGGTCCAGAGAAGGGCAACGGAGCTGGTGACGGGCCTGGAGCACAAGTGTGATGAAGAACGGCTGAGGAAACTGGGGTTGATAGTTTGGAGAAGAGAAGGCTCAGGGGGGACCTTATCACACTCTACAAATACGTGAAAGGAGGATGGAGCAAGGTGGCTAGTCTCTTCTCCCTAGTAACAAGCAATAGGACAAGCAGTAACGCCCTCAAGCTGCACCAGGGGAGATTTAGATTGGATATTAGGAAAAAATTTCTTCACCAAAAAAGTTAAGGACTGGAACAGGGTGCCCAGGGCGGTGGTGGAATCACCGTCCCTGGAAGTGTTCAAAAACAGTGTAGATGTGGCACTTCGGGACACAGTTTAGTGGTGGACTTGGCAGTCCTGGGGTAACAGCTAGACTCCACGATCCTTTGCAACCTAAATGACTGTTTCTATGGCTCAGACTACAGGAACTGTACACTGTACTACAACACTGTAGCACATCCTACCTCAACGCTGCTGCCTGCTGCGGGACCCCAGCCCTCTCCCCGAGTCGAACAGCCGCTGCCGATGCCGGGGAACCCCAGCACCCCCAACCCGGGCGTCTGAGCTCCGCCCTGCCCCGAAACCCGCCTTGGGACTTCCAGGGAGCACCGAGAGCGAGGACGGGTGGGTGTCAGCCCGCTGCCCCCTCGGCTCGGCCTGTTGCTCCCCCCCGCCATCAGGGGCCAGCCCGGCCAGACAAGGAGCTGCTCCCCTGCCGCTGCAGCCGTTCCTAACGCGCCTCAGGGCTCGTCATGGCGGGCGGGCAGCCCTGGGCACGGAAGGCGGCGGCAGCTCACCCCGCCCGCGGTAGGCCCCGCCCGCGGTAGGCCCCGCCCACTAGCGGACGGTCCTTGTTCCCGCCGGGAGAACGCTGCTGTCCGCGGATCAGGCAAGGCAGACAGGAGGCGGGCGGGCTAGGGCAAGGCTGGGCCCCGCCGCGCAGCCCACCCTGGTTTTTGTCGTTAGTGAGCATGTGGGCTCGGCTGAAACAGGGGCGTGGCAAGGCAGGCCTCTGGGCTCGTGTGCTTGCAGAGGGGTTAAATTGCCGTGGTTTGTAGTCTCTGCTAGAATCTTCAGGGTCAGGTTGGTAGGGACTTCTTTGGTCTAGTGGGAGGTATCCCTGCATATGGCAGGGGGTTGGAACTCGGTAATACTTAAGGTTCCTTCCAGCCCAAATTATTCTATGGTTCCGTTTAATAGCCTGCAGATCTGGTTTTATAATGGGCACTCATTTGCTTGCTATAACAGATTAATGACTTTTTTTTTAAGCTAAATAATTATTAATAGAAGTGTCAGGATTTGTACTGCTGCTTACTGCCGACAGCCCTTTAAGGGTTTAATATGTGCTGTCTCGGGGGCAGGAGCACCCCGATTTGAACTGGCCTTGAGGCAAGGCCAAGGACAGGCAGGTGTCACAGCCCGTCCTGGAACAAGGTGGTCCAGAGCCACCCCGTTTCTCACACCTTTTTGTTAATGAGCTTCAAAAGCAAGTCGTGAGCAGTGCTGCAGGCACTGGGTTAATGTTCTGTAGATTCAGCAGCACTTGTCAGCGGTAAAGAAAATGATGAACAGTTAGTTGCTGCAACTGTAAAGTGCACGCTTTTGGTAATGTTCTGAAGCACTAAACATGAAGTAGTTTTACAGAGGTCTCCTTTCTTGTTTATATTTTTATGAGTGTTTCTGAACTGTCTCCAATTATGTGCTTTTTAGACATCAGTTTACATTCCTCTTCAAAACAATTCCCCCCCCCCCCCCCCCCCGTAGCAAATGAAAACTTAAGATGTTTATGTGTCTTTCTCCTTCTGGGTAACATTTAAGGTATTCTAGATGGTATTTTGTAGCTTTTAAGTGTATAGCTTTTGAGATGGATGAAGGCAGCATCATTTAGCCAGTTTGTAACTACAGCAAGTGTTGAGGATAAGTACTTCTATTTTTATACTGGGTGATGGTATTTACATCTCAAACATGGTTTGGGAATAATTCTGTGGAATACGCAGAGGGAAGGATGCAAAACTTAAGTGTTAGTATAAAAACCGAGGAGACCAAAGCTTGGAAACCTTTTTTATAACAGTGATGATGTACCTTCAAAGAGTACCTCTCAGCAAATAAAGTCTTGTTCCACATTGACTGTTAAGGAGGCAGGTGTGAGTATCTTAAGTAAAGGACTTCTAAACCACTGATAAATAATGAAGAATCTACTGCACACATTTTATTTACCTTTATGATATTCAAGAAATTAAAATGTTTGGCTTTTCTACCCTGAACAGCTTTGAAACTGTTTGTTTTTTTTTCAGAGGGTATTCTGCAGGAAAAAAGCTTATGGTCCATTTGAGTTCCATCTTGTTCAGGACTGGTTTCTTCTCTGCTGCCAGGATGGCAACATTACTTAGAACTGTGTGCCCCAGCCTCTTCTGGATGCGTTCAGTAGCAGCTTGTAAGCAGGCCCCGCTGCAGAGTAAGTAGTGATGAAACTGTAGAAATCCTGTATTAAAATTTGTTCTTTGAGAGCCTCTTTCCTGTGCTGCTTAAAGTAATGGAAGTGTGGAAGTCAATTTTTATTTGAACACAGTCAAGTCTGATATTCCATCTTCTCTGCTGATAATTAAAGGGGATCTTGTTTTGGCTTTTTTTTCCTCTTAAAGCTTCTGTGGTCCACATATGGTGCTTCTCTAATTTATTAGTTTGCTTGTAAATACCACTGCTCTTACCACTGTGTTTGATTTTAATTAAATTTAAATCTATTTTTTTTTTTAATGGTGGTGAGAAAAAAGGCTACAGCAAGATCTCATTACCCAATATAAACAGCAAAGTGAAAACAGGCGATGTTATTTCTTACCTTTTTATGTGTGTTTCGGGTGTCAATAGGTAGATGCAGTGGAGGTAGTAAAGGCTATAGAAAAGAGAGGAACTGAGAAAATATAATGGACATGTTACATTTTAGAGATTAGTGGGCAAGGAGGAGAAAGAAATCTTAGGAAGAATCCTAGGAAGAGATACGAACTATTTGCAGCAATATCTTGACAGAGCTTTATGATCTTAAAAGTATCTTTTAACTTAAATGATACTATGAAAAAATGGAAATGGAATTGTGGGAAAACTCAGAAGAGACTTTGGGTGGTGTGTGGTCCAACCTCCCACTGGGAGCAGGCTCAGCTCTGCAGTCACCAGGTTGCTCAAGGCCTTGTCCAGCTTCGCCTTTGAAGTCTCCAAGAGTAGAGATTGCACAAGCCTGGCTGGGCCCCAGTCCCACTGTGCCTGGGTGGCCTTAGGAAAATGTTTCTCTGTGTATCCAGCCAGAGCCTCTCGTTTCAACTGAGGGTGGGGTTTCATGTCCTTCCACTGTGCACCACTGAACAGACTGGCTCCCTCGCCTCAGTAACCCCAACTGTCATAAACAGTCACTGGGGGCTACTTTTGGGTTTCCCCAAAGCTGCCTGTGCTTCAGGCTAAGCCAGCTCCCATCCCTCAACCTCTCCTTGCAGAGCAGGTGCTGCAGCCCTGACTATCTAGGTGGGCCTTTGTTGAAATTGTGCCAGCTCATCTTTTATTAAAGGACCCCAAGCTGGTCATAGGGCCCAGATGTGGTGTAATAGGTGCTGAGCAGAGGGAGAATCCCATCCCTCCATCCACTTAGTACAGTCCTGGATGCTTTTGGCTTTCTTTACTACTTGTAATTTACTAGTGATTTCTTTGCCTGGAGTGGAGCTGCAGGAACCTGGGGAAAAGGGTAAAGTTCTCTGGGATTACTGCAACCAAGACATGATAGTTTTGTGTTTTGTATAGCACATATAGAAGTCACCAGTGAAGTAAAAATTAGATTTTTTTTTTTTATAATAAATATTGCTATGAATGAAATTATGATCATGCATGTAAGTCATAAGGTAATGTTCTTTGCATATATAAAGAATATGCTCTAATGATCAAATCTGTAGGTATTTTGTTCATACTGTGGTTTTCTTTAGGAAAACAGTACAACTGGAAAGGTAAATGTAGACCATAGCTACCTAGATACTGTATTTTTTTGATTACACTATAAATCTGTGCAGTAAAGTGAATGTCTGTTTAGAAAGTATTTGGGTTTTGTTAATTGAAAACTGACAATGATTATAATCCCCAATTCAGACTTAGAATGAAAATGTAAACATTCTTAAACTTGGCACAGCTCTGCTTGTTTTTACATGTAGTGTTTTGTTTTGGTGTTTTTTGTGTTTTTTTTTGCAGATGGAGCTGTGTGTCGTGCTTGCCATAAATCTACATATTCAGTTCTCCCTGAAGACTACAACTGGTACTTAAATGTGCTTTAATATGTGGCCTTTTCATGTGACATTTATTCCAGGGCTGTTTTCTTTGTTGTGAAGTTATCATATAATGGAATCAAATACACCAGTTTTGGATACCCGTAATAATTTCAACTAACGTACTGTTTCTGATCATAACAATTATGAAGTCAGTATTTCAAAAAGTAAGCATAATGAAAAATCATGCAGGGCTCATTCTAAACATGGTGCTGACCCCAGTACCCCTGCAGTTTTATTTATGAAAATAGCTAAAAGCAGTTGTTTTCACTGATGCTTGTTGTTAAGACAAAGTCCAGGTATTTTTGTCTGCTGCATGAGAAAGTTGTGTAGAAACCATGAAAGACAACACAAGTATAATGGCAAACACCAGCATCTGAGTCCTACAAGGTTTTAGGAAGATAATGTGTCACGGGAACAGGAAGGAAGGTGAAAAAAGTCGTATTTCCTCATGGAACCTCTCGGTAGTGTCTGTTCATCATGCTAGTCATCTTGTACGAAATGTAAAAATTGGAACACCAAACAGAGCTTTATTTCCTATTCTTTTTTTTGTAAGTGCCATACTTCTTATAAAGGCATGTTGTCCTAGACATCATCTTTCCCCATTTGTTGATACAGTTTTACATGTAATTATCTGTAGAGATTTTTTTTCTAACCCAGTTACTTTCTTTTAGCCCTTTCTTCCTCTTCATCCAAAAAAGAAACATGATGATGATGGTGAGGAGGGTAGAAAGGGAAAAGGGGCAGAATAGAGGAGGTTCAGATCAAGTATTTGGGACTGTTAATTTATAAGGGTTTATTTTATAGAAGATTCTTAAGAATTCATAAATGCAGGGGCAAATCTAGTTTTCTTTGGGACTTGGGCTATTTATTTGTTCAGCGTTTCTGAAAATTGTAAAGTGTATATTTGAGGTTTTATTTTTATAGCAAAGTGGAACTTGCAGTGACATCAGATTTGAAGACAATTGTCTGCTACCACCCGTCGCTTGAGATTCCATATGAGCATACAAAAGTAGGTCCAAATGTATATTTATATTTTGTGCTCTTGTAAAGGCATAAGTAGTTCATAATTTTGAGTCTTGAGGGTATCTTTTTTTTCATTTGAAATACTGAGATACTTTTTAGCATGTGATCAGCATGTCTGTGAAGTTAGTGAACAATGAATGTAGCTGCTGCCATGAGGACCTTGTTCTTAGGTGAATTGAGGGAAAGTGGCAGAGAAAGAAATGCTCAGATAGCACAGCCTATAGTAACTCAAATAGAAATAAATGAGGCACTCAGATACTTGTGCACCTCAGAGAAAACTAGTGTCTGTATGAGTGTACTCCTCAAGAGGATGTTTGGAATGCAGGTTTTAGTTCACCTGTCCTGATGTACAGATGCTGCAGTCTGGGAAAGAGAATATAACAAAGTGCTGCTGTTTTCAACTCAAACTTTGAATTCTCTTCAGTACTCTTGGCTTATAAACACTACAAAAAAACTTTATAAATATCAAATTTTTATCTATCAGCAGTACTTACAGTGTGTTCTTTACACAGATGAAAGTAAGTTTAGAAAAGCTTTTCTAGTGTATACTATTTGTTTCAATTTCCAGTTCTCATGCTAGTAAAACACTACAAATGGTAGCCTTGTTGCTGAAGTACCCAATGTGAAAATTCTCCATTGAAAACCTAAGACATTTTAGCACTCTTTGCCGGCAAGTTATATACCAGTATTTTTAAATGTATCAGTTGCATATATCTCAGGAAAAGACTAAACCAAGGAAAAATGCTTGTAATGGTACTAGGAGTTAGGTTTCAGGTTGAGAACAAACATCTCGGTCTTAGCAGATGCACAAACAATTAGGAAGTGATATTCTTCTCCAAGGTACACATCATGTAAAAGCTTTTTTAGTGATGATGTTTATCACTATGAATAAATTTCTAAATAGAAATAATATGAATACTTTTGGATTAGTAGAAGTGAAGCTTTTGAGTCCGCAGGTGAATTTTAAGGGTCAAGTTAGCAGTAATGATGACAGCAGTGCTCATTTTAGAGGTAGTGTAATCAGCTGTAGCACATGGGGTAATCAGTGTTCTAGACATCTGCTCCACACTGGTGCTTTGGTTGGGTGGGGGGGTGGTGGTGAACAGCTTTTACAATTGCAGGCATTTTTCTGTATGCCTTTGGCTTCAGCTGTCAAGAGTAATGCTATCTGTGTAGCTTGGTTTTTGATTTTTCTCAGAAAAGGGAAATACATATACACTACTGTTTTTATAGCCCATACCACGGCCAGATCCAGTGAATAATAAAGAAGAAAACCTCGATCAAGTTTTGAAATGCAGATTGAATGAAAAAGAGCTAAAGAATGATGAAGGTCCTACAATCGAAGAGCTCAGCAAAATGTTTTACACAACAAAACATCGCTGGTATCCTGTGGGACAGTAAGTATTTTCAATGTTTCTTCCTTTTGGAGGTAAAGGGAAATAGAAGAATAACTTAATGACCAGATTCAATGTCGGGTAAGTCATATGAGGCAGGATACTGTTAGTGCATGGGCTATTGCATAAAATCTTAAATGCAGCATTGTGTAAATGGAAAACTGTATTCCATAAGGGTTTTTTAATGCTGCCCTTTTGGCAGCCTTTGCCACTTTGAAAGATGTCACAGAGCAGAAATTTCTCATACCATCTATTTAGTTACTAGTTCAGGCGGTTATCAAAGTTGCATAAAAGAATCTAGTAGGTAAAACACCGTGAATGGACATGAGCGGACACAGCCTGGAAACTTGCATTGTCTATTTCTTAATGACTTTTCAGGAAAAAAAAAAATTAATAGGCCAGTTCTCAGACTCAAGAATAGTAGAGATTTCCCATTTGAATGGTGAAAGTTGCACCTCTGTGTGCCTTGTATTCAGAAAGCTGGGAGGAGGAGACCTGCAAAGGTGCATGACAGCTTAAAGAGGAACTATATACGCTCAGGTAGGCCCATGAATATACCCAGCATTCTGGTTTGTGTTACTTCTTCCCAGTTTGCTACTACATCTTTTGGTAGTTGCTAATTTCATAGCTGTGGAGGCTTGATACAGGCAGAATATATGTTTGGGTTTTTTTTTAATCCCCAGAATACTTTAATTATTGTGCTTTGGGGGTAGATAAAATGAATGAAATGGTAGAATTTTCTATGGCCAAAGGGTATCTGTCATTTTAATGAGCATCAAACAGGGTCTTCCTTGATTTAGGGTGGGTAATTAAGAGGGAAAAGTAGGGATGATTTTTTTGTTGTCAGAATTTGTTTTTTAGTTTGTCTGCAAAATATTACACTATTTAATGTACAGTCTGGCACCACTCCTTTAAACATCAAGTCTCTTTGTTCTGTAGCAATCGCTTTAGCCAGAGGAAAAGCTGATGGTGTAATAAAATTAACTTCAGACAAAGGATTAAGAATAATAAACAGCAGTCTTTGTACCTATTCAGCTGTAGAACTGACTGAATTATTGCATGCTTGTAGCAGACATAGCAATAGAAATGATCAGCATTATGTAACTCCACAAACAACAGATGACATCTAATGAGTGGTGGATAGGCTGTGCTTGTGTAACTTGTGTTTTACATGTCTAACCTGAGATCACTTGCTGGGGGTGAAAGCATAAGGGAAATCCAAGACTGTCCAAAGCTTTCATTCACTGCAGCCTTTTTTTCTTCTAGGTATCACAGAAGACGCAGGAATCCTAATCCTCCCAAAGACCGATAACTGGGACAACTTCTTGTTCATAAGCACATTACTAGTAATCTTTACTGGAAATAAAAATTACGGAAAGTGAGATGTTTGGCAGTTCTGTGCGAGTGCTGTAACAAAAACATGCTTAGCTAAATTTGATTCTTCTACTTCAGCAAGTTGACAGAAAAACGACAAAACTGCATGAATGAAGCAAGGGTTCAGTGATGGCTGTTGTACGAGCATGGTCAGCCAATGACCTAGTCTTAGAGCTGGATGCAGCAGGTGATGGAGTGCTCTGATTAAACTTGGTCAGAGGCTTATCATTGGTAAAGTGAATGCACAGAAGCCTTGTGTCAGAATGGGAAGTCCAGAACTGGACACATTAGGGTTTGGTGTTATTCTGGGAGGATAGTTATGTTTTTAGAAATCTAGTAACTGAAATGCAGGTGAGCTTGAACACTGAGGTCTTAAAGAGTATTGATAAAAAATATTATATGAGGTATTTATGAAAAGAGTGAAAAAATAGTTTTGCTGCTTCTATTATACTTGCAAGATAATCTGATTCCATGTTTAATCCAACATCAGCCAAGTGATTGTATTAAGGCTTATTGTCAGGTACTGGAAACTGGCCAACTTGGTTACGTATTAGCATCCAAGGCATAACAACTTGCCTTTCTAAATCACTGAGGAATCCCAAATAGCTGAGAGAACGTCTGTGTGTATTCATAGTTTGGGGCAGGGAGTTGCTGGGTTTGTGTTTTATACCCCACCCTGTTTACCATTCAGTGAGGATGCTGTGTTCCTATGGAAATCAGAATAGCTGTAGCTCAGGGGAGGAAAAGTTCTTTGCCTCAGCAAGGTAATCAGTGAAGACTCACAGCTCTTTCTCGCTGACCCAGGGGGAAGGATTTGCCCTTTATGACATAAAATGCTTTAAATTAAAGAAGTTTTTGTTTTATTCTACTTCATAGCTTTAGCAATTTGTAGTGCATAAATGTCTCTGCTATTATAATATTTTGTCATCTAGCCTTTTATTTTCCTCAGGAAAATGAGATTCTTTACTCTGGTCTACAGTTTTAGGCATCAGCCTTCAGACAGAAAGGGTCAGCTTGGAACATTATTTATAAGCAGATCCTTATAAATAATCAGAAAATAATTATCCCATGTATGTCATACATTTTGATTGTATTTCCTTTCCAAAGCAACTTGGATAATCTAGGAAGGTTCTTGTTTCTTTGCTTTAGTCTAGTGTCATTTTACCAGCATGTGTTGTCTCCAGGTTCTGCTACACATTGAGTACTATATAGTCTCTCATCTTGGTCATTGTTACTCTAAAGAACACTTACTTTCTAAAGTTACTACTGAATAACCTTTTTTCCCTGAATTTCCTGTAACTGGGAGGGATGAGAGAAGGCAGTGTTGGGTGTGTGTAAAAGCCTCCCTTTAAATGCTTCTGGAAAATTGTACATGAAGCTAGTCTAAGTTATTATGTTGGTATTATTTTTAAAAATGCATTTTTAAATCCAAGTGACAGTTTAGCTGATAGTGGTTTATGATGGCAAAGCATGGAATAGTTTTGTTTATTCTCTGTTATGTTTGTAAGATATCCGAGTCCATGTTTAAGCCTCCATCAGCCAAGCGATTTTGGCTCTGTGTTATATGATGTGTTGCTCACGTGATAACATGCTATCATGAAGGAATGTCTGTTGTGTCTGTGAGAAGGATCACTGCTTACTCTGCAAGTTCAGACATGTCAAAATACTTATTTTTTTTCTGCTTAAAATATAACTTTTAAAATAGTTTTTAGTAATTTGTAGTACAAAAAATTTTAGTATTTTGATCGATTCATGGTACTGACACTGGTCCATATGTGAGCAGCTTCCATCTCATACTTACTGTTTCATTCATGTCCCACTGTATAAAAATTAAGCCCCCTTTATTTTTTGAAAGCTGAGACCTGATTCGTCACCGCTTGACTTTACTCCAGCATAAGAAAAAGACATCCTTGGACTAATTTAAACTTTGAATTATTTTCCCCCCTTCTTCTCCCTGATACTTTGTCTTAGTGCTGTGTAATACTATTAAGACATTTTGCTTTACAGAAACCTCCTGTTATCACATTTGTCTGTTCTTGCCTGTCAGACCCTGTTTATGATCAAATATCCACAATCACTGTAGAAATGTTGGATTTCTCAATGTTTCCCAGACATTTTTGGATGCTTTTCAGATATTTTGAGGGCTTAAAACCTATGATGTGCTGGGCTGCTATTTTAAAGTACTTCCTCTTCTGACCAGTTACTGCAGACAGAGTCTAAAACACTTTCACTGTGTGTACCCTCTGCCACTTTGTTACTACATTAATTCATAAAATTGATACTTCAAAATCTCTCCCTTTCTTATGCTGCCACTCTAAATCTTTCTATGATCTCTTCCACTAATCTTTCTCCTGGGTCATCTGAAGCATGACCTAATAAAAATCCAGCTCTCACAGTAATTCCAAGCTGTCCTCCTGTTTTTCTAGATATTGAACAACTATGTAAAACTGTCTTTATCTGTTTCAGTTCACTTAAAAACTTAGACTTAGAAATTCATCCATTTAATTCTTGTCCCATTTCTATGTGAAAGGATAATCCATTTGAAAATTAGTTTGGGCTGTTTTCTGTTGCACTTGTTAGTTAATTGAAAACCTTAGTTGCCTAGAATATACAGTGTTAAGTCTGCTTTGGTGTCTCTGTAGCCAATTTTAGGCACTTAGCCATTTGTTTTGTATCTAGTAGTTACCAAGTGTTTCAGACCTTACTAGGCTCATTGCTATTGTATAGTACACAGTTTGTATGTCTTACTGATTTTTTTTTTTTTAATAATATCGATTCAGACCATTAAAATTGCAGTTCAATCCTAATGAAAAGAAAGGTCTTTCACTTTCTTTAGTTAGACTTGAATTTAAAAAAAGGAAGCATGCTTTTAAAGCAGGTTTTTGCCTTTTTTCCTATGTGCAAATTATGTTGTTCTGCAGATGCTTGGGTCTACCACCAGGAGGCAATATTGCACAGTTACACAACTGGATTTGTCCGAAACCAAACGGGATTTAGGTATGTCATCAAATTTAACACTGTAAGAGACATACATTAGCCGTTCTTTAAATTTGTAAGTATTTAAGAAAAAGGAACTCCCTAGCAAGTCTGAAAGTGGTTGGATTCAAAGGTTCAAGGGTTCTTTTGTGAGATTTGCCTGTTATGTCTGCAGCATGTGGCAGAGATGTATGTTCAAAAAAAAAAAAAAAGGCGACCCTGCCAGTTTTGAAAACAATGGTGGGGTGTAACAGCACCCAGCTGCCAAATACACCTGTGTTACAAGTTTAATATCTTTATGCTTCAGCTCCTTGTGATGATTAATGGAGGGAGGAATGGTCCGTCCATCCCTTCCCACCCCTCCAGTTACTCAGTCCTATAGAAAAGTTCACTTCTTGTCCCTGTACTGTTGTAGTAGGTCTGAATTTCAGCTGCTATGTCTAAATTCTGCTGTACTAGAACAAATTGCTGCAGTAGGTCTGTTACAGGTCACAGTAATGACTGATATTTAAAGCCAACACTGCATTTCTCAGTTATCACAGTCTTTACAAATTTTAGCAGCTGCTCAGCTGTAATTTGACATCCATTCCACCCTCAAAAGCAGTACAAAGTTATATAATGAAGAGATCAAACAGGCGTGGACTGCATTCCTCTTCCCTAATAGAGGTTTGTTTTAATGCTGTAATATAATAAAACTGCTTAAAGCAAGCTCATCAGTCACTAAAATAAACATCGGACAAATTGTGTGCCTACCACAAATATAAGTTGGATTCATCTGTAAGATTGAGATGGCTACTAATTAGACCTCTAAGCCTGAGTTAGTCTTTGTAGGCTACCTTTATAGTCAATTGACAGGGGAAAATAAAATACCTACCCAGGGCAGTTGATCTTTAAGATTTTATTACCTAGAATGTCACACAGATTGTTCTCTGGAGGTGCTTTCTCCTCATCTATGAAGAGGGAATGAAACTTAGTTGAGGGTGATATGCCTGCATCAGAACAATGAAAGCAGTTTGACTTTTTTATCATATATGTAAAAGAAAAATACTGATCTTAAGGCAACAATGCTGCTCCTACTAGCCTTCAATAGCATGTAGTCCATGCATAGGCACTCTGTTTTCTCTGCATCGTGTACATGTTTTTACTGTATAGAGCAATTCACACACATAATTTGTAACTTTGAATAAATTGTATATAGGATTTAATCTCACCTCTTTATATTTAATCAACCCTCCAATGCTGAAAGATAATACTTAAGATGTTGTTTCATTCATTGTGTAGTCAGAGGAGAAGTAAGATAGTTACGTGCTTTACAGCACCTCTTCTAAAGAGCTCATGATCACAACTGTTACCTCTAGGTACTTCTAGAAAAGTGAACACAACAAATGATAATGTACTGGGCAACATGCACAGAATTATCTGAAAATTTAAATACTGTTTACACAGCCTATTAGTTCCACTGTATATAAATACAGCTGTTAGCTCCTGCCTTCTGATGTGCAGTATCCTTTGTGGAAGCTGCATGAATCGAACAGCATGTTTGTTCAACAATTTTGCATTGCATGGCTTCTAGAGAAGTAGAAGTTTATAGCCCTGAGTACCACTTTTATTAAGTGTCTTGATGTAGGTGAGAAATGATAGTCAAGGTATCACAGAGTTTTTCATTACCTGGAGGCACCACAGGAGGTTGGAATGACCAATGGAACTGACAAAATTTGCCAGCTAATCCTTCTGAAAAATCAAATAAGTAATGAATATGGAAAACAGTTGTGCTTATATCCAGCTTTACTGCTTGTCAAGATGAAAAACAGTCTTGGGCCAGAGGCATTTTACTGCTTTAAATATGGCCAGTTTTGACTGCTACCAAAGTTTACAATTCCCCAGCAAAGGAATCTCCCTACCAGCAAAATAGGAGTATCATGGGGAAAAAAAAACAAAAAATCTGGAAGAGCTGTTTTTTAGCTTCTCCTCTGCCAAAACTAGTAGAAGTTTAACTATGTAAGTATCACAGAATATTTAAATGAGTGATGAAAAGTGACTTAAACTAGGCTACCACATTAAGCCATTATCATGTAGAACAAAAATTAACTGAAATAAAAGATTAAACTCTTAAAGCATGACTCTACTGTACAAACATCCATTTCCTACTAGATAATGTTAACAGAGCTTTATAGTTTCATGTAAGGACTAGTGTTTCTTAAATACTGCTAGTCTTTATTATTCAAATGTACATTGTATTTGTTTAGACGAATAGTAAGCTAAGTGGCATTTTTCTGAAGTCAGCATCTGTAGGAGTTATACTGGACCAGAGCTGTGCTGCAGCAGTCATCTTCATCTTCTGCTTTAGTTAAGAGACAGTGAAGTTTTCAACTGAGTAATAAGCTAATGCCAGGAAGAATTTTTCCTTGACCCCCCATTAGTTAACAGTTGGTATTCAGTAGCACAAGGCTCCACATCCTTTTTCGTATTTTTGTTATTTTGTAGGTTTTAATCCCGACTGGCTTAAGTATGGGATCACTTGTCATTTTCCAAGAGTATCTCATATCTTTATAAAACTGCCTTTCCCCTGCACTGTTTTTTCATACAGTTAAAATCCTGGCATTAGCGATGGGAAAACTGGCAGCAAGTTCCACAAATTTTAGAACTGGATTGAGAAAAAGGATTTCCTATCCAGAGTAGAGGAAAAAAATTCAGAATTCATGGTAAGTTCACCATAAGCACAGATAAGAAAATCAGCACAGAAATTCCCTCTCTAGAGCACATATTTGTATGCTCAGCTCTAAAATAAACATGCTGTATGTTGGCTGCATGGGTCACAATTTGACTTTACATGGCCATAGTTGTTGAAGAAAAAGATTTGAAATGAGCCCAAAGAGGCCACTAGAAGGGCTGAAAGGTGACATGACTGCATATAAGAAGAGCAGTGGTGGTCCTGACCGAGAGCAGCTGTGATTAGTACCTACACAGTGCTTAGCCAGTCCTTGCTTAGCCTGAGGACAAAATCTCAACTCATCAGAACTCGATGAGTGTTTTGCTTCAATATGACTGTTGAGGTTTAAGCCCAGATGGTAACTTGGTACCACATACCCCTTTTTCCCACTCCCCACTGCCACTGCAGGCAGGATGAGGTGAATCAAAAGAATGTAAACCCTATGGGTTGAAATAAGAACACTCCAGTAATTTAAGTATAATATAAAACTACTAGTACTAGTAATAAGGGGATAGAATATAAAACTAAAAAGGAAAAATCTCCAACAAACAACAATAAACGCAAGTCATGCACAATGCAAGGGATCACCACCTGACAACTGATATTCAGCTCAACTGAGCAACAATCTGGGCCTTCCAGGTAACTCCCCCTAGTTTATATACTGGGCATGACATTCTGTGGTATGGAATACACCTTTGGCTAGTTTAGGTCAGGTGTCCTATCTCTGCTTCCTCTTGGCTTCCTGTGCCCCTCCTCACTGTTAGGGCATGAGGGACTAAAAAGGCCTTGATCAGAGTAAGCACTACTTAGCAGCAACTAAAATATCGGTGTGTTACCAGCACTGTTGTCACACTAAAGCTGAAGCACAGCATACCACCAGGTAACTAGGAACAAAAATAACTCTTGCAGCTGAACTCAGGACAATGACCAAGATTTTAGCTAATGATTTTGTGGAAAAGATGTAAGAGAAGCCTTATATTTCTTTAAGAGTGAATTGTGTAGTCAAAATACCTGTGGTCTACCCTTTACGTTGGTCAGAAGTGGTCCCCAGCAGCAGACTGATACTCAGAGTCCCTCTGAGCATGCCCTTAACTGCTCCGGCTTTCAACTGTCACACCTCTGTTACTTCCCTCTGTTCCACCTAGCCCCCTTTAAAGCAATGGCTCCACATCCCTGTGGGGAGAGTTCACACCAAGCACTGCTCCCAGGGTCACATCTTGTCTGGCTTTACCCTACATGCTCTTCTAAACTGCTCAAGCTGATTGTGCACCCTCAAATATTACCACATCCAGAACATGAAATACATACCCTCACTTCATCCTAGGAAAGCACCAGTCTCACTGCCTGCAGTACAGTTTAACATCATTTCAGATGCTTCAAACTGAAAGATAAAACAAAAAAATCTGAATTATATGTTGAGTCTGTAGGGTCCAGAAAGTGTCCAAGGAGTACTGTGGGATATGAGTATGCTCTAGAGCAAACTAGCCCTAGCTAGCGTGGATATAAGCCAAGCCTCTTGGCATCAGGGACTTATTTTTATTTAGAAATACAAGCATGCTTCCTGAAATCAGGTAGTTGTGACCATTGTTTTTACAGACAGCCTGAGCTCAGACTGTTTGCCTGTTCATACTACTAACTCTGAATCAGTGTGTTACAGACTTAGTGATACATTCAAAACTAGCAACTCACACCATAACAACTGTTCTGTAAGCAACCCGAGTCATCAAGATTGTCCAGTCCAGTTCAGAGATGCCCCAGTTGACACTCCTGTAAGAATAAAAGATTTTTCTTCTGGATAAACAAAATTAAATATTCAGAGAAGAATTTCTGTAACTTCCAACAAAATACAGAGAGCAAGCATCTTCTTCAGCAGTCCCCATCAGAGTAAATGAACCATACCAAAGGTCACTAAATGTTAATGTTCTGTAATTCTCGGCCTTCAGAGGTTCAAAGAAATCTCAAGAAATGGTTCAAGTTACGGCATTTGGAAAAATAATGAGGTGAAAGGTCTTCAAAGACTTCTGCAGAAAAAAAAAAAAACAACAATAATTGGACACAATCCTTAAAATCTTCACTTAGGCATTACTAAATGAAATGTCAACAAAAGAAAATACTGGTATAAAACCCAAAGACCTGGGTTTCTTTTCAGTTACTCTCAGGACAGAAGGGGTTCATTTATTTAAAAATCTGTGACACTGGCAAATAAGCTGTTGACTTTAACAGCTTGCCAGGTGTTGCTTTTGGGTTTTTTTTCCAGGTATACTCCTAAATTAATTTTGCTAGAAATACAGTAGCAGTTCAGCACATATTTTTTAGCAGTTCATCTTGTTACCTGGCATACTGTTGCCCCCCTTAGAACAGCCCAAGGAACTGATCCTGAAAATGCAGGAGATTAAAAGATAGGCTCCAGTTGACTGTTGGAAGTGTAACTGTCAGAAGCATAACGGATGTGTCGTTTGGGGAATTTTGTTGTTGCTGCATCTTTTCCATCAGCCAGTCCAAAGGGATTTCATTAACTTCTCACCAGTCCTTCTGACTAAGTAGGAATTTTGACTAGATTGTGAAAGCTTCTAGAAATAATCTATTTTGAAGTGTTAAGTATATAAATGCAAATTGAGTGGAAACAGCTGCTATTTACATTCCCTAGACACAGGATTCCACTCCCTGATGGATAGAAAAGGGAAAAAAAAGCCATCAAAAGAACATGAGGAAATTGCAAAAACATGGATCTAGTAAAAATATATGCAATGGACCACACTGTTGGGGGCTATAAATTGGTATACCTTTGCAGGTTTGCCACCACAAAGTATATAGCCTACCTGCCAGAAGGAGCTTCATGTATTTCTTGGAGAAAGGAGGGGAAGGGTTGAAGGAATGAACACGATGAAAACAAAAGCATATGAATAAATTCATGTTTCAGCCTTTTGTGCAATGGCTAACAGAGAGCCAGGCATTTTCAGAAACAGCCTCACAGAACAAATCCCCCATTCACAACAAGATTTTGCTATGGACTTCTGTTAGTTGGAGATTATGTTCTGGAAAAATTATGAAAGTTCCTGAAAAATGTAAGTAGCGTATTCTAGACCAGTGTGCCTGAAAGTGGGGGACTGCTGGAAGGTAAAGAAAGTGTAGTGTGAAAGCTCACCCCTTTGATGAACCCAAGCCTTATCTTTTTATTGGCCTGACAGAGGCCCTGCTACATGGCCTCTCTGTATGTTCCCATTCACTACCCTGCAGCAGATCCCTGCTGTCAGGTGTTCCACTGGAAAGCTCATGCTCCCTCCTGCCGTGCCTGCCTCTACTGGTAACATCACTGGCAAACATCTAGAAAAAATAAACAGTAATAGACTGTCCTCAGAAAAGGGTAGGCATGTTTAAAAACATACACAAAATGTGACTGCTAATTTCATTTGGAGCAAACCCACTCAGTCAAATCAGTGTCAGGAACCTGGGCTGGGGAATTAAAGGTGGGATTCTTTTGCTGGGTTTTCCTTATAGAAGGGAAAAGGAGTTGATACAGCCAACACAGCTGAAGATCAAGCACCACAGAAACACTTGATTCTTAGAGCCTGTACAGCTGATTCCCTCCAGGACTAGATCTATTTGACTTGAGATTGCTTTTTTGCCTGCCAGCACACCAAAGCAGTCATAACACAGGCAAACGTGGGACAGAAATGTCATTCCATTTTAGATACAGACTCTTGCCTGCTGTTCTATGCTATGCAAATGATACATCCGATGGCAAAACGTATCCTTTAGTTCCTTCCCAGAACAGGGTCTGATCTACAGCAGCAGGTTTTGCAGCTTCCTTCTGTCTAGCATGATGTGGCCTGAGATGCTCAGTAAAAATTCTGTGCCTCAGGCATCTTTCTGGATGAAATTTATTCCCAGAGGGGAAAATTTATCAGAAGTGAGCTCCGAAAAGAATGCTAAAAATAGTGTTAAAATTTGGAAATACAGGGCAATGACATTGAAAGTTGGAAAAGATGTCTAGCCCAAACTCACACTTTATAAAAGGCTTTGCATATTTTGTAATAATTATGGATATTATTTCCCCTCCCCCATTCATTTACAAAGACAGAGATAATAACAGACTTCAGCAAATCTGAATTTGGTTACACAGAGCCATCTGTTAATTCTGGTATATGGCAGTAGAGGGCATCTAAGGACTTCTAGTCACATATGGTAAGGGATTAAAATCAGATGGCTGAAGGAGTTACTGCTCTCACCCCCAACCATTCACCCCACTCCATGCACAAAAGTTGCCACCTCAGGACTGAGCAGCTCATGAAGCTGCTCCTGAACGACTGCAGTTTTGAGCCACCCTGAAACTGGGGTTGATCTTATCATACCAAATCAGAAGCTGAAGTTGTTTAAGAGGAGAGGTACGAGTTAATTTGTTATCCGTGCTGCAGGCAGCACTCTGTAGGAGTCCCAAGAAGGATGGTTCAGGTACAGCACAAGAGGAGACAGTAACTGCCTCAAGCAGTCTATCCAATTTAATCTACTACTGTTGGAGCTTTAATTTTCACATACCTGGCAAAACTGCTTACAGGACGGGTAAGCAATCCTGGGAATGGACAGGCTGTGCCAAGAAAAGGCAAGCTGTGGACCAATGCTCTTTCCCTAACCAGGAAGCTTTGTGTTTGCTTCCTCTGCTGAGCCCAAAAAATGCCAGTCTGTCTGTCTGGCCTGTATTTCAGTTTACAACTTCCCAACATGCCAATCAGTTACAGGATGATGCCTTGAGCCTTCCTGACATAAAACAAGCACTAATCATGACAAATAGAGAAGGTAGCTGGCAGCTAGCACTGTTTTCTTGTCAACTGTCCAGGTTTGTGTGACATTCCACGTCCAGCCTGTCTTTACACTGAAGTGGGGAAAGCAGCCATGCCTGTATTGAGCCAAAAGAAGCCAACACGTCAGAGGCAGGTTAAGTTTATTACCTCAAACTCACAATGCACTCATCTGAAAAGAGTATTCGATCCAAGCAGCACATACCTATACCATGGGCAGCATATTTTCAATTAACTGTAAGAAGTTGAAAATTATATAAGCACATCAGTACACACTGATTATCCTGTTATTCAAGCTCTTAAATACAGCAGCCCATCAGGCCTTATACTGAAGTCTATTATAGCCTTAGCCTGAAATTTAGAAGTGGCTCATGCCCAGGAAAAGGTTCTACAACTCATTTAATGATTCGCAGTACTCCTGAAATGATATTCATCTGTCTGCTTTCCATGGCAGCACTTTCAATCATAAACACTTAATTGTAGGAATTCATTCTCTAGGCCAAATAGCTCTGGGTGAATTAAACCATCTTTAATATAAGAACTAGAACAGTGATTTTAAATTAATCTTTTTCTGATGGAAGACCATTTATTCAGAGACATATAACCCAGTTTCTTCTTTGTCTTCCATTATACTTTGCACTCAAAACTCTCCCCTTTGAAGATAGCCACTGCATCACCTGTTTTAATTTTCCTTATTAGCTTCAGAACTGACTCTTCGCCAACAAAGAAACTTTAATTACTTAGGGACTGGCAGAGCACAGGAGAGCTGCCTGCATGGCGTCTGTCAGGAAAACTTTTTCACAGACATTACTTGCTCTCTTTTAGTTTGAGAAGTAGAACTCGCAACTGGCAGGAAAACATCTTGAGCCTCCTCAAGCATAAAAGGCTTGTTTGTTCTGGAAGCATCTAGGACAAGAATGCAAGATTTCACAGTGCTTTCAGCTGTGCTATCTCTAGCATTTTTCTAAGACAAAGACGAGTATACATTTCTCAAAAACCCCACAACTTCAGAGAGTGTGGTTGTGAACATGTGTATGTATAGGTGCATGTGTATATATACACCTAAACACCCTTTCTCAGACATATACACCCTTTTATAGCCCCAAACCCAAGGTAAACAAATAGTACAGCCACAACATCTTACACTATAATCTGAATATTGAAATTCATAGCAAATATTCTCCTAACAGTTGTTTAAAATGCCTGCTATCAAAACAGTTCTTGCCAGCAGTCTTTTTTTTCTACCATGTTCTTGAAAAGGACCTGTACTAGGAAAGAAAATGGTGTCAAAGGGTCTATATTTACAAATTATCCTCAGGTAACTTCCAGCAATATTTAGCTAGCTGTAGTTAAGAATTAGACAATTCAAAAATTACGAAGTGACATACCTGAATTCTTCTGTTTATAAAGAAGCCTAACATAAAATAAGGTGAAAACTGCTGTGTAAATTATATTTTTTTAAATATACCTATATATACTTAGTACCCTGTCACCACATTCCACTTTTCCTTAACAAGTGCAATCAAATTATTTCTATGTTATTTTGGTTTTACTTTAAATTGTAAATAGTAAATTAGAGAAACTATAAAAGCTCCACATTTACTGGTTTTAATTAAAGATCCTAAGTGTGTCTCAATAACCTCTTACTCAGTGCAGCTGAGGCCTTTAGATGCTACCCTAAGTTTTAAATAGTTTGAAGCACTTGATGAGATGAGAGAAGGATTTAAATGCCACCTTTTTTTATGGTCAGTTTCATGCTTGCCGGTGATTACCTATGCACTGAACTGCAAGAAAATAATCCTTCTTCTTCTCCACCGTCTCTGAAAGAAAATAATCTGGATGTTATTTCAAAGTACTGCTCTCTTAGTGCTACCTCTTGATGGTTTGCTTTTAAATCACAAGTGCTGTTTTTCTTTTAGAACACCGATTCATAGAAATTATTATCCACTGAATTTTTGATTATTCTCCTTTACCAAACATATATTCTCAAGAAATTTAAAGCATTCACCTCTCAGTAGATAAAAATGGCAGGAAATAAGGTGGCAGCTAGTTAAAATTGTTTGGTATACATCATTATTTATTTCATCAAAACATTCTGTTCCTCGGGCAGCTGGAAAGAGCAGCTTGTCTCTCTGCTGTATTTATTCTGTTTTAGGAACTCTTTGTGAAATAAGCAAACCTTTCTTCCAACCACTGAGTGAGAAATTCTCTAAGGGCTCGCACTGTGGACCTTGTTTGTGGTGTGGAGCTACAATTAACTTGTTCTAATTTGCTTGAGATAAAGGCTCAAATAGTCATATTTCTCTGCTTGAGAACCAGACATGCTGCCTGGCCACTGCAGTCACAGGGCAGGGAGGAGTTACACACTGTTATTTAGCTCAGTTCAGGTGAACAGTTGTCAAAATATGGTCAATAAATAGATATAAATGATAAGTGATAAGCAATAGTTGACCTTTTAACTAAAGCAAATTTTATCTGACAAAAAGGTATGCCATGGGTAATGGCTATTCAGTGCTGCATCTTCAGGAAGTGGGGATGCAGAGAACAAGGAAAGGCCCCTTGTATTCTTTCAGGTAGCTAGATAGATCTAGCTAAAGAAACCAGTAAACCTTTTCAGCAGACCAAAGCAAATTTAGCAAAATCAGCTGGGCCAAAAATGAATTCCCACCCCCCCACCCCCCCACCGGCTCACGTCATATTACATAAATAAATCAGCATGCTAGCTCTCCAGTGAATTTGGCACACTTTTCAGGAACAAAGTGAAAATCATTTCTAGCAACAGGCACTCCACACTACTGTAAAAATGTTGTTGCCTCCTTCATTGGTCATGAAAGAGGTTTTTGCCTAAAGGAAAAATAAATAAATCTACTCGTCCCTCCCCTTCTCTTTTTGACGACGTATGTTTGAAAACAAGTCAGAAATATAATCTATTCTGCCTGTGATTTTCAAGAACTCTTACCGTTTATGTTTTCACTACTAACACATATATCAACTAAAATATCTACTAGATGGAAGATACCCTGCTCAAACCAAAATGTTCATGCACAGTAGAAAGTATCTGGAAAAGAAATCACAGATTCCTTAAGTTTGTGCCTTTCATGTCCAGTTGGATGATACACCTCTAGAACTAGCTCAGAAGCATTCATAACCACATACATACAGGCAATATTTGTCCTAGAACTAATACCCCAAAATACAGACTAAAAATAAAGCACTTGCTTTGAACTGTACTTACAAATTCTAAATCCCCATTTGTATAAACTAGTTTTCATATCAGTGGCTCTGTTTAGAAGAATTACTGTTTTTAGTTGGCAATTAGAAACCTTCTTTTATTTACTTGATGGAAAGCTAAGTTTTCAGTCTGCTGCTTCTTTTCTTTCTCCATTTCACACCTCCCTCCTACTCAATTCTAATTTTTTATAGAAACACTTAAGGCAGACCAAGCATGTATTAAACATCCTAATGACAAAAAAGCTAAAAAGTAGTTTAAAGTAGCTTCATGCACCACATGTGACCCATAATCCCACAAGTAATTTAATTTAATCACCTTTTCTTAACCTTAAAAATTATTTATTTTTTTCTCCTCTGTGACTGTCAAAGACTCACACAGACAGAGAGAACCAGCTAACATTGTTGAAAGCAACAGTGAAATACTAACTTACTCCACCAAGCACTTGGGGAAGTCTTATACCAGAGAATAAAGGTACCTGTGAACCTAAGTATTCTACTCTTACGAGGTGCCAAAAGTGTCATTTAAAGATCGATTTTTAAGTTTGAATTTCATTGTTCTTGTAAATTTATCAAATCTTTAGTACTATTTTAAAAATGCGTTAACTTCTCAGGAAAAAACAAAATAAATTAACAGAACTCTGTATAGGAAAGATCCTGCTGATATACTGCCTATTTAGTTTTTATGCTACCTTTTTCATAACAGTATCTGAAGTTTTAAGTAACAAAATTTATGACATTCCTCTGTTCTTGTTACTGATTCACCACATAAATCACGGTCTTCCTCTCTGCCTTCACAGTAGCCAGCTGTGGTTTTAGAAACAAATTATTATGACTTCAAGTGACGAATAAACAGCAGAAGCAAAGGAAGTCTTGAGATACTATCCACATAAAAATGCCATTAATAAATAACATAGAAAAAGAGAACTACAGCAAAGCTGTAAAAAGGCAACTTTGCATCTGGACAAAGATGCATTCCATTTCTCTAAGATGAATTAGTGAACTTTGAAGGAATAGCTCTAATTTGAACACTGTTATATCAAAATAACTTATTTTTGAGCAAAAGCTCTATGCCTGCATATATGTATCTGGAACTATTTTAGTAATAAAAATCGATTTATATTCCTTTTTTGTTGTTGTTGCTGCTGTTTTTTCTGAACATAGTGAAGCCAGTGCAATTCTGAAAATATTACATTAGATTTTATACAAGGTCTCACATCGTCAGTAGCAGAACTGTAAACTAAATTTCAAAGGACACAGACATATTTTCTCCTTGCTTCAAATCTATGCAGTGAAAAGTTAGTGGGGATTCCAGAAGGCTGATCTGAGACTATCTGAATTACACAGACGAAAACAGGAACAAGAATGACCTTCAAGACCTAAATTGTTTTAAACCATTTCTGAGAATGCTTAAGTGAGAAAAAACATGTTTGTTACTCAGACCTCATCTGAAATCTGCTGTGCTGTCAGTGATTGAAACTACTTTTTTTTAATAAATAATTAAATTCAAAAGCACCTTAGCATTACAAACTGATTAAACCATATTGACTAATTCACTTAATAAAGTTATTATTTTTTTCCCCTCAGATGAATCTGCTTAATTACTTACTACAGTTTTTGTTTCTTTTAAGAGAACTGTTAACTCCCAATACTCTTCCCTCACCCCCTGATGTTTATAAATTCTAAGTAATAGCTGTTACAAAAGCCTTCAGAAACTGTCCTCCATAGTCCCCCGTTTTGTTTATTTTTTATATTTTTCAAAGAAACACTGAATTTCAGGAGTTTCTGGGGAGTGCGGCCAAGGCAGGAGTGTCCCTGTGGGAGCTTTCCCTGTGCAGGGAGCTGACGTGCCGCTGCTGCCCCGCTCCCTCAGCTAGACCGTCCAGTCTAATACATATTCATTTATCCCTTAGATAACAAAGGCTTCCCACACACACACACACACCGATTTTTAAAGAGATTATTTGTTGTGTTATTTTATAGTATTTTTTCCCCAGAGACCTTTAAAAAGACAGCCCTTATTCCTCCTCCCGGCAAACCTGAAAAATACTCCCTTCTCCCAAACATCTCCGTTGCAGGGAGCCCTGACCTGCAGCCAGGATGACACAAATAAGGCTACTTTGGTTTTGTTTCCCTGTTTTCTTTCCTATTTATATATACAGATACTGGGGGGGGGGGGGGGGAGTGTGGAGGTCTTTCTAAGTCAGCGCAAGCAGCGGCGGGAGGCGGCTGGTTAACGAACAGCACCCATGGTGCAATCAATCATCTTTAAGCCAATAAAAAAAAAAACAAAAAGAAAACAAAACCACCAGCTTTGGGTTTATTTAATAAAATAAATAAATAAATTGAAAAGTCGCGGGGGGGGGGGGAAGGGAAGGGGGGAAAATGGGGGGGAAGGAGCGGCGCGCGCATCGTCGGGTAATGGCTGTTTGTAGCAACGAGGTATTTAGCGCCGGAGGGTGAAGGGGGGTGGAGAGCAGGGTGGGGTGTCCCAGGAGCTTCGGCCGCCGCAAGCCCCTGGCACGGAGCTCTTGGCACCGGCCCTCTCTCCCCTCCTCTGCCTCGCTCCTTGCCCCAAGGGCGGGCCCCGCCACTGCTGCCGAGCTCAGGTGCCCGCGGCTGCCGGCGCAGGGCAAGGCAGGGTCTCGTTCCCCGTCCCCCCTCCCACCTTCGCCTTCAACCCCGCCATCACTGAGGAGGAGAAGGAAGGGGGGGGGGGGAGAAATACAGGACACGCGTTCCCGCGCTCGCATGGTTACCTCAGGAGGTGCCGCGCGGCCCGCTCGCGGAGCCGCGTCTCACCCCCTGAGACACGGCCCCTCCGGCGGGCTCCTTCAGCGGCCTCCCGTTCGCCGGTACCTCAGCGGCCCTCAGCCACTGACCTGGTTCGCCGCGCGTCTGCCGCCCTCGTTGGGCGGAGGGTTGGGCCCGCGGGGACTGGGAGGTGAGGGGGAGAAGGTTTTAGGCGACTGCTTGCCCCGGCGTGACAAGGGGCGGCGGCTGTCGGTGCGTCGGCCCTCGGCTGGCCGCGAGTCGCGGTGGAGGCGCCGGAGCGGGTCCTGTCACATGATGCGGTTCCTGGAAAGTTCCTGGAAAGCAGCCTTTGTATGTAGCCATCCCGGGCGGGGGGAGCGGCGGGGGCAGGATGCCCTCGCCTCGCAATCAAAGGAGAACAGACCGCCCGCGCCGGGGAGAGGGGGGGAGCGGAGGGTGTTGTTTCCCCAGGAGCACCATCCTCCTCCTCCAGCAGACTGTCTGCCTCAGCACAGCCTCGACGCTTCTCCTCGGCGGCGGGTGCTGTGCTCCCCGCTGCCGCCGGCAGCGACAACAACCTGAGCACCCCACCTCCAGGCGGAGACAGCGGCGGCCCCAACCCTGTCCGGCCGAGCCTGGGTGAGTCCCGCTGTCCTTCTCCCGCCCTGCGCCCGGTGTTCTGCCGCTCCTCGAGCGCAGGGAGCCTGCCGCCCCGCTCCCGGGCAGGCGGAATGCAGGCTCCTCCGGAGCCGGAGGCAAGCTGCTCCGGCGCTCCTCATCCCTGCCGGGAGACACCCCGTCGCAGCTAACCACCACGGTCTCGCAAACCCTCCGTCCCCGCCGAGCACCGGCGACTGGGCGCTCCCGCGCTTCCCCTTCGCAAGGGGTCGCACCCGGGCACCCGCGGCAAAGCTGCTCCCACCTGCGCTCGGGGTTTGCGGCCGGCAGCCCCGCGCCCGCAGCAGCTCCGGCGACAGGCGCACCTGCGCCCGGACCCCGAGCTGGCGGCAGGAGGGTCGGGGATGGGCTTTGCGGGGGTTGACGTGCTTGTGCCTGCCTGTATTGCGATAGAAACCCGGCAGAGCCACCCATCAGCTGCCGCTGAAGTTTCATTTGGAAGTTACCGAGCTCCGCCGCGGAAACTTGTGACGGGAGGTGCCACCTTGGCATAGCCCCTCACCTGGCGGCGGCTGCTGCGCACCGCGGGACACAGCTTCTGCCCGGCCCGCAGGCACCTCTGGGAGCCCAGCCTCTCCCGAGAGCTCCCTCTCGCCCCCTGCCAAACCGGCAGGGCTCCCCTCGCTGCGGCTGCCAGGCTCCATGTCGCTGCCGGTGTGACGGTGGGAGAGCCAGAGGCTCTTTTCGCCCTCCCTTCCCCCCGCTCGCTTCAGCTCAGCGGAAAGATAAATTTTTTTTTGTAACTCCGGCAGTATTTAATGGAACGGAAAAAGCATGTTTCCTGCCCCGCACTATATATATATATATATATCACGTCCTCCACCGCGCTGCCCCTTCCCGTACCCGAGCGGCCAGCGATCCCCGGCTCTGCCCGCGTACCAGGCCCCCGGGCGCCCCGCTGTCCGGGAGGGACTCACTCCCGCCCCGGCAACACGGACCGCACCTTGCTCCCGTTCCTAGAGGTACGGCTTCGCGTGGGACCTTAGTGAAAGGCGGACCGATCTGTTCCTGCACGTCGCAGCGTGCAAGCCGGGCAGCGCCGGGTCTGGGACCTGTCCCGCTCCCCGTTACTCCTCCCCCCACACCAATCCTGCTCATACCTTTACGTGCCCAGCGTAAAGTCCCACGACTTCCTACCTCTTCAAACGCCCCCCCCCTCCAGCGCTGCCGCCCGGCTTCGCCTACCCCTGCAGAGGGAGCGGCGCATCAGCGGGTTTGCTCTTGCTATAGAGCGAGACCACCTTCGCGGTCTGCCGCCTCGTCCCCGGCGGAGGGGAGTCGGGGACAGGCTGGGCGTCGGGGGGAGGAGATGTCCCTCCCCCGCTCCGCCGGGAGGTGATCTCTCGCCTCGGGTCCCTCCTCTGGATGCTGGGAAGTTCCGAAGAGGGAGCGCTAGAAACGCACAGGCTGCGTTGGGAGCGCCTCTCGCGGGGCTCGCCGCTAACCACGCTTTCTCCGCTCCCAGGCGGCGCCCGGGCCGGGGGCCGGGGCCATGCACCCGTCGCGGCGTTGAGCACCGCGGCGGTGGCGGCGAAGCGGAGCCTTTTCCCTGCAGGCAGCCCCCGACCTGCGTGCGAGCGGGGCAGCGCCCGCCGCCGCCGCCCCTCATGACCCTGCGCTCCGCCGAGTCCCTGGAGAGCACGGAGGGCTCCCGGGCGCACTGGGGACACCCCGGGACGGCGGCGCCTGTTGCCGAAGAGTTCTGTGAGGCGGCGCAGCTGGCCGCCGCTATGGAGGAGCTGCGGCGGGCAGGTAAGCCGGGTCTGCCGGCTTCGGGGGTGGGGGGCGGCCGGGGGAAGCGGCAGTCGCCGGGGTGTCCGACTCGCTGCCTCCCGCCGCGCCACCGACCCAGGGGAGGCGGAGCGGGGCGGCGGGTTGCCCCGCCGGGCCGAGAGGGGAAGCGGACCGTGGGGCGACGCTTGCCAGCACCGCCCAGAGCTGCGGGATCGCGGCACCGCGGAGGCGAGGGGAGGCGGCGGCGGCTCCGACCTTCCGCGGGCTGCGGCGGCCGAAGCGAAAGCGCCGGCAGCGCCGCGCCCCGGCGGCAGCCCGGGATCGCCGCCCGGGCTAGGGCCGGGCGCTGCTGCCGGCCGGGGCGCCCGCAGTGTGCCGGGCGGGCGGTGGCGCCGCCGCATCCCCTCGCCGCCGCGTACCTGAGCTCTGCTCGCCGGCGTGGCGGCGGCTCGCCCAGCCCCGCACGACTCGGGACTTGGCCGCGGGCGGATGAAGTGGCTTTCTGGTCTTCATTGCCTCCCCTGCTCCCTGCTAGGACCGCAACTGCACCGCCGAAGTTGTTTCCTCAGCTCTCTGCTTCCGATTGCTAGACAAAGCACATTTCAACAACAGACTACCTAGAGTTTCCAAAGCTGGCTTTCTGCGGGCTGCCAGCGTATGCAGTGCGGACGCCACGCTCGCCGCGGCGTGTGCGCAGCGGGGAGTCGCGGGACCCGTCTCTGCTAGCTTACGGGCAGCCCGTGGTGTCGGCACCTTCGATGTTAGCCTCTCAGGACGCTCTAGGAAAGTTTGTGCGCGTGTATGCATAGATAGGAAAATGAACAGTGATCTGGAAGGCTCTGTCAAACCGAGACGCATTGTGAAGCAAATGAATTTAAATCGCAAATAAAAATGTAGAATGCCTGCAGGACTTTCAAACAACAAAGGAAATGGGTTATTAGAAGTATATCAGCCAAAGAGTAGCTTTTAAAACAAACAAACACTAATGAACAAAACCAAACCCTTCTCTTCTTTTTTAACAGGATGGTACTGGGGCAACATGACTGTTGCTGAAGCTAAAGAGAGATTACAGGATGCTCCCGAAGGGACCTTCTTGGTTAGGGATAGTTCACATTCAGAGTATCTATTGACTATTTCGGTAAAAACATCAGCGGGACCGACCAATCTACGTATAGAATATCAAGATGGCAAGTTTAGACTGGACTCTATCACGTGTGTCAGATCTAGACTTAAGCAGTTCAACAGCGTTGTGCATTTGATTGAGTACTATGTTCTTATGTGCAAGAACAGAACAGAAACACCTTCAAATGGAACAGTTCATCTTTACTTGAACAAACCTCTCTATACGTCCACTCCATCTCTGCAACACCGCTGCAGAATAACTATAAACAAATGCACAAATCAGATCTGGGAGCTGCCATTACCAACAAGACTAAAAGAGTACTTGAAAGAGTACCAGTACCAGGTATAAATATATTTTCTAAATGCCTGTAATGTAGCGTAACTTTTAAATGCAATTCTTAAAATCAGCCAAAGAACTGAGTAACCAGTTGAACAAATCAGCATGGAATTCACTATCAAAACAGTGGCAGTTCTGGGGGAAAGGTTTTAATTTCAGATGCCACAAAGGGAGACTTTATGTAGAATAATCTCAGCTTGCATCCTCGGGGGTTCAACAAGGTGGCATGCTATTCTTGCAAGGAAAGAGAAGCCAGGAATCTGTCCAGATCATGTTGCTTTGTCAATGGCATAAAATACTTCACAAATTATCAAATGCTAACCGAAGTAGTGGGGCTGGGAGAGACTGCAGAAGTGGTCAAAGATGTATGAGAGTGCATAAGCATCTCAGTTGTCTGATTCCATGATTAATTTGGTGCTGGTGTTCATATAATCCTGAAAGCTTAACTGGATCATGCAGTGGTAATCTTGCCAAAGTTATGCAATTAATCAAATCCAGTCAAAAAATTGATCTTGTATTCAGTCTTTATTGAACTATAATTCTCATGCTTTTCTGCAAGCAAAGAAACACTGCAAGTAAGAAGTTCAAAACATAGTTTTTCAAAGTTCTCTAAAAGCTGACCTTAAGGAGAAATGCCACATCTTTCATAGGAACCCAGTATGTTGTGGATTATACCAGATTGGTATCCCAGAATTTTCAACATGGTTAACATCTTCCCAGTGGTGATATATCCATGTTATTACTAGTAAGCCTGTTTTGCTTGAGGCTTTAGGACTGTATGCTGCAGACTTGAAGTTACTCAGTTCCAATGTCAAAACATGGATATCAGCAGTTACAGCTGTCTTCTACAGTGTAGAATTTCTTCAGCTTGTTTCCCAAAATGTGGGGAAGTATGTTTGGGGTTTTTTATTGGGTTGGGGCTTTTTTTTTTTTTTTTTCTAATTCACCATTGTAGTTATCAGACTATTAATAAAGTAAATCAAATTGCACAACAATCTCCCAATCTTTGTATGTATGGATTTGCTGCTGTTTTTCAGGAAACGGTGATTTTAGCAACCTATATAATTTCCCAGGTAATACTCAGATAAATGCACATGTATCGGTGAGGAAGCATATCCCTGCTTTGCCTTTATGGTGCTGCTCAAAGGAATAGCTGGATTAGGTTGAGGTTAGTGGTTTAGAGGCTGCCTGCTGAATTCCTGTAGTTAGGTATTAGCATAGGACATTGTCTTTTCTGTTACAGCAGTCCTCCAAATTGGAAGAAGGGTCAGAAACCCTGGGTACCTGTTCCTTAGCCTAAACATAAACTGTTTAAGAGAAAAAATAACCCAGATGAGAGTAATAGGGGAGAGTGAAGAGAGAAGCAAGGGCATCATCCTCAGTCAACTTTAACTCTTTCCCTAGCTTACTTTTTATTAAAGCAAATAGACATGTGTTTGAACAAAGAGGATTGTCAAGACTTGCTGTAATGTAGCCCTGCCCAGGCCAAAACAGAAACAATATGAAATAATTGTCTTGTTTTCTTCATGCCTTATCTGTTCTGTAGTACTGTCACTATGCTCTGTCCCTTCTCATAAACTCTGGAGCATCAACCAGCTTATTTTGTTGCATCTAAACTCCCAGTGTTACACGCTTAGCTTTATCATTAGCATGCTGGCAGAAATGAGTAGGACAGTCATTAAGTGACTGAGAACCTGAGCCAGAAAGGGATGGTTCCTTGGTAGCGCAAATACTTGGTATGTTGTTCTCTCCATGGAAGAGGTGGGTTTTCTTTCTCCATGTCTTCAATTCTCTCTCCTCATTTTTAATGTAAGATTTAGTATAGAAATGGGGCGAGTTTTCTCATGAAAAACAGAACAAAAGCTTTTGTTCTGTAAAATTTTTTCCCCATGCCGTGCCAAAGTGTAGCAGATTGTTGGAAGTTTTTCACATCACATGACGACCACCCTCTGGTTCCCATCTCAGAAGAGCTCTTGTATTCCAGGTATGCATCATAATCACAGTTTTTCTGTGCTTGTCATCTGTCTTGCTAGGATCTGCCACCCTGAAGTTGAAGAGGTTTTCCTATGAGAAGTGCCTGTGAACCGTATTTCTGGGAATGCTTTCAATTCTGTTGAATCTGTTCTCTTACAGTTGTTGTCTAGCTCTACCTTGAGATGAGATAGCTGTGGCAGAGAGTAACTTTTGTCACAGTAAGAAATGCTCTAATCTGCTATATTAACTTTCTACTGGGGGCATTTTTAGCCAAGGTGATGCTTAGCTGTGATATGCTTGGGGTCTCAGTGGTGAACACATTATAATAAGGTCCTTTAAAATGAGTTCACTCCTGTCTAGCCCCTGGCCTCCAGGTTTAAAATCATGAACACCAATGCTGGAACTGGCAGACTGAGAAGATAAGAGTTTTGGGGTGCAGCAAGCCAGCTGTGTTGTACATACAGGAAATGATTTCTGGCTCACTGCTGGCAGCCTACTGTAAGCAGTGGCAGGCCAGGTGTTCCCCACAGCAGAGCCAAGCTTTGAGGAATGACGTGGGGCAGATGCAGAGCAGCTCACTGGGCTTTTGTGGCCAGCTCTCCAAAACACAAAGGCGAATGGCAGCCTGAGGACAAGGAATGCTAGTAAATCGAAAGGTGGCAATTCTTGTTAACAATACAGAGTAGTTTCTGTGATGTGGAATCAAATCACCAAACACTGAGCATACTGACTTACACTTTGTATTGTTTGTGTTGGTTACTGTGAGGAAAAATAGGGGCTGTAGCCAGGGCGTGCTCGAAGCACTGAACAATATTTTGAACAGACTGGAGGGGGAACTAGTCCTCTTTGTATGAAAGCACAGTTCTTGTCCTCACTAGGATGCCAGCCCTAGGGTTGATGCATTGCACTAGTAAAACTAAACCATGCCATAGCTTGCTGAAAGCTCTGCTTCATTCTAGCACAGCACAGAGGAATGACCTATTCTGGTACAAAAAAAATCCAAGGATAGCACATGATTAGATTACAGTGGTGCAAAAATCTTGCATGTAGACCTCATGAATTTCCAGGCACTGTCATGTTGTCCAAACATTTTAAAAAGAGTTCCAGTGCTTTCTGGGGTTTTGGGTTTGTTTTTTCTTTTTTTTCTTTTTTTTTTTTTTTCACTTTATGGATATGGCTTGTTTGCAGCAGTAGCTTTTAAATTGCTGCCCCTTTGGATTCCAAAAATTACTTCTAACTGATATATGTCATCTTGAATTGCTAGTACAGAGTGTTCAGTGAAGCCAGTTTCACAGGTTCAGTGCCTGTGAATCAACCCAAAATCATGATAAGGACTCTAATCATAAGCCTTTTTTTTTTTTTTTTACCCCATGTATTGTTTTTTTTTTTCATTTTTGAGTCTTGAGGTTTCAGATTTTCCAGTTTATTCCTGGAATGTTAGTTCCTGAATAATGAAAGGACAACTGAGAGCCCCACAGTCCTCAAAGGTGATGCTTAAAAAATAAAAACACAATTGTGAGATGAATGATAAAAATGTAATTGATGACTATTTAATTAGGCACTAAGCCCAGCAGAAGTGTGAACTATGGCTCTGTCTTAGTTGTATGGGCATTTCTCTGCTGCCTTTTCTGTCACCAGAGACAGAAAAGGGTTCAAGTGCAAGATAGGTGGGTAGACTGGGAATGTAACCAAGCAGCTGCGCCCAGTGCATCACAAGCAATTTTGTTTTAATCTCATCTCATTAATATTTTCCTATTTGTATTTTATGTAACCACATTCTAGATCAACAATATATAATTATTAGCAAGAAAGAAAAATTGTTCACTAGAATATGGGGGCAGAGGGTTTTTTATGTTAAAAAAATACAAACATAATTTGTATTATGTACATTCTGAATGTACTCCTCACTGAAAACTGGAGCTTTAGAATCTGAGACTCTTTAAGCAAACAATCTATGTACGATAGGAAGGACAGGGCTCTGTAGCTGCATGAATTCCTGTACCATGTCTTAGCAAAGTGTTCCTGGAGGTAAACTACCTTGTTGATGATCGTAGGAAAACTTTATTTACTTACACGTTCTATCAAGAGCTTCTTGTATTCCTGATAAAATTTGTATGGATTTTTATTTTGTCTATAGGCTTAATATCTAGCAGAGAGTAAGTTGAGTGGTGTCAGGGCTTGTTCTTCTTAAGCCAAAACACGTGATGGAAATAGGAAGAGATACCTTTAGATATGGGTGTCGTGTCTAATAGGAATATAAAAAACAGTAAAATAAAATTTCTGCTGACTTTGCTGTCATTAAAATAAATCTAACTATCATACTGACTGCTAGAGGAAAGGATGGCTTCAGGAATTCTAGAAGTTGTGCTACTGAGTCTCAATAAGAAACTTTTCTCTTGAAAGGGCATAAAAAAGAAAAACAACAAAAAACTATAGAATCAAAGGAAAATTTTAGTACATAAACCCTAAAATTTCCAAATAGAATAACTAGAAATTATTTGGAAGGTCTGAGCTGGTTGGTGCTGTATACACAAAGGAAGTGGGGATGACAAGCTACTTTGGTATCTCAGCCCAGCTCCTGAAAACCACTTCTTTATTAGCGTTCACTTCAGCAGGTCTCAGTATTTTGCTAAGCCCTTAGCATGACTGAAAATGCCTGGAAACAACATTCCACCAGCACGTAACTTCAGTCGCCAAGGTCTGAGCACAACAACATGGTGGTTTGCCACAGCATTGCCAAGAGTGGGTAATTTCTACAAGGGGCTGAAGATCAGTCACAGAAACTGGGAGGCAGAGTTGGTGCTGCCAGGGGCTGCAAAGGCATCACTGCTGACCATTGCTGGTCCTCACCTGCTGTCTTAGACAGACATCATCTTACAAGCTAGGTAAAACACAGCTGCCAGGAAACCAGATAAGAAGTTACTCTGCTTGCTGAGGAGGGAATTACCTGTCTGGCTTTTGGTGTCTGAGAAGGGACTGAAGGGAAAGGCCAGCACCTCCTGTGAGAGGTGGCACTTCTCACAAGGTGTGTCAAATAACTAACCATCAGGACTAGTACAGTGTTGAAAGGTGTATTAGTAGAGCTAAGCTAATGCCTTTAGGTCCAGGGGAGTAGCTAATAGCAGCACAGTTTAAACCACATCTAAACAAAGTCTGTCTGGATAACTGAATTTCAGGAACTAAAAAATAAGTGTCTAGCAAAATCAGTCTGTCCTGGTCCAAGGGTTGCCAAGGGAAGGAGTGCTCAAAAACTGTTGTTTATTGATCAGGTTATCTACAAGACTTTGAAGTAGCCATTGCCTCAAAGAAAATCGAGGGAAATGTGAAAACACAGCACCATAATGATGATGTTTAGGCTGCCTGATAAATTATGGATTTTATTCAACTTAAATCCCTTTTTAAAAAAGGATTGCACCTGTGTTTTGGTTTGTTTTCTTCCAGAATTGGAGCCATTAATTCTCCAGGAACTGAAATACCAAAATAATACCATCACTTTCTATGGTATAAAGGAGGAATAAAATGGAGGAGCAAAAGCTGTTTATACTAGCATAATGAACAAGCTGGCATTTAGCAGGAGAAAGTTCAAACAGATAATACCCTGGGGAAGTTCAGTGCTGAATGCTGCAAAGAACAAAATTTGAAAACAAACTCCAAAAATTCCATGTTCCTGCCTTAATTTTTCTTTCACTGGCAAGCAGGGTTTGCATAAGTAAATCCTTTTGTTTTCAGTCAAATTGTTCCATAACTGATGTTTCATAGCTGAGGACTGCAACTTGGTGCGAAGTCAGTTAACAAATAGTAAATGCAGAGGTATATAAAATGTGGAAAAAGATTCAAACCCCCAAATTTTTCTTTTGACTTTATTGAGATTATTTGGATCAGGGTTGATAGCAAGCATTATATAAGAAACAATTGTAAGACTGATAGTTGAAGGCTGTAAAATCCCTTTTCAAAATGCTTTGTTACAATGTAATTGTACCTCTTTTACATTGCAGTCCTGTTCTGCTGAGCCTCTGTGCCCACACCTGGTTTGTCTCAGGGGGCACCTCCAAATTTGAGGGATTGCGCTGGACACCTGTATGACATGTCACACATTGGCTTTTTTCTTACCTAGTGTGCAGCTTGACGCAGTCTGGAGGACAGAGTAAGTTGTGCATCAACTTACCATTTATGGGGTTTTCAGCTGGTTCATTTTCTTTTAGGAAGAGAAATACTAAACAAGACTGAGCCTGTATTAGCTGCAATTTACTCATCTGTAAAATAGACTTGACATTTTGTAACTTATCAGTGTGGGGTGAAAAGTCACTCATATTTCAATTGACATTGACAGGAAATTTAGCTGCAGTGATGGAGTACCTCTGACCGGCTGCATTGCTAGAAAGAAAGAAGAAAGTTAGGAAGGTGAGATTCTCGTCTGACTAGCTTGCAGGGGAAGTGGCACCACAGCTCCTGTGCGAGCTGAAGTGCTTCAGCCGCATGTTGTCTGCAAGGGAAACTGCCTGTGCAATTCCTGTGTTTTCTGGCACAATTCATGTATTTAACTCCCTTGGTGGAGGACGCAGTGCCTACTGCAGGCTGCTGAACCAGCCCCACTATAACCATTCATGGGGGCAGGTTTCATTTTGAAAGGGAACAAAATACAGTAAGTGAATTTTTAATTGAAGGTGAGTTCTTTTTTTGTTTAAAAACAGGATGTATGGGAAAAGTATAAGCAGTGGCAAATCTCTTGCTAGGCTACCTGTCTAAACTTTCCATGAGCCATTATCTGCTCCTGAAATGCCTCACCTGAAAGTAAGAACCTTTGAAAATATAAGTACTGTATATATAATTTGTACATATATACATACACATATATATGTATGTATATAACTTGTCAAGTTCAAAGCCTGAGAAAGAAACAGAAGATTACAAAAAGCAACAGTTACTCTCCTAAATAAAACCAAACTTCCAGTCTTTTATCTAAAATGCTAGACAACCATTTCATGTGCTGTGACTTGCAAACAAAATAATTTATTTTTGTGAAAAGGTTTCAACCTTGAATCTTAAATTCCTTTTACTTACTTGTCAATGTTTGATTTTCAGGCTAATCTGTGAATTTTCTTTGTTTGTTCTCACATTTAAAATGGTTGTTTTACATATAAAAAAACAGTTTCATAAGTCTGGAATAAATATGCAGAGGCTTGCAGTATTTCATCTGTCTCCTCAAAGCATCTTTAAATTAAACTTCAAGAACAAATATGTTAGTTCATGTATTTAGTGAAAATGGACTAAAAATTCTGAGAAATACTGAGTCACATTTTGCAAATATTAATTGCAGGGGGCTTATTGCAATTCATTGAGAGATTCTTTTTGCTTTTTTTCTGGACTGAATACAAAAGTTTCACATTTGATGCCTGTCTTCGATGCCTGCTCTTTTTCTTGTAACTATTCTGCATTCAACTTTTGGCTACAGATTATTTGCATCAAAGTAAACAGCATTAAGACTTAATTCACTGCAGCACTGCTAATAAACACTTGTTTTTATTACTGAAACAAATGTAAATGTATAGACACTACACAGTCACTTCACACTCCATGGTTTAAGATGTTTTGAAACTCTTTGTGATGTATTTTACCTCCATGCTGGACATGCCTTTTAATAAAATCATACTTCTAAAGAACTTCATGATGTGTCACCTACATTTTATATTCATTGCTCTCTTCTCTTCAAACCCCACTTAATTTAAAGCCTTTATTATTTATGTGAATAGAAAGTTACAAAGTATCAGAACAACCTAAGAGGCAGCCCAGGGGCTACTCCCCTTCAATGATTCACTTCAGTTCTGCCTGCCACCTTTTCCCAGGAGTGATAAGGAATCCCTGTTGGAGTTGCAGATGACACCTGAAGAGTGACAGGCACTCTCATCCTGCAGCCCAGCACCCTCGAACCCTGCAGGCACCCAGAGCAGCACGCCAAAGCTTGGTTTACAGGTAGGGCAACCTTTCCATACCAAAGCCTTCCTTTCTTGGCATCCACCTGTTTTTCAGAGGCTGGCACAGAAATCTGGGTGTTGGCATTAGGGAGGCCACGCTTGCAAAGGGGTGTGCAGGGGGGACCTGGGTGAGGAGGAAGAGGGCAGGGAGGAAAGGATGATCGCTTGAGACAGCAGTGGATAGCAATGGCTTGCAAGACCCTCATCTGGTCTTCAGGCCACCACTTGAGCCAGCCTGACTTGTATTTTAAAGTGTTTTTGAGATGTATCACACTCAGAAATATTTTTTGTGCTTCTTTTTCTAAAAATTACAAGCAACCATATAATAAGTTTCTTTTTTTTTTGTTTTCCATCTTCATTTCAGAGGTTTTGTGAGAGATTTAACCAATTAGATGTGTTTTTAATAAACAAATCTAGAGGCTCATATTTCTTTTCTTTTGTCCTTAAAGTTGGAACGCTGTCCTACAGACAATTGAAAACAGCATAGTCCTAATAGATTAAATCTGCTTGCACTAGTTTTAAAAACACATTTTGGCTCTTGTTATCAGCAGAAACAAATTAGTCTGTAGAAAACAAAGAAAATACATACATTCTAGGATACAGTTTGACTCTAATTAGCATTAAAGATCCTCTCAAAAGTTTTGGGGTTTTGGTCGGGTTTTATTCTCATTATACTTGTACAGAGTTTCTAAAAAGATTTTGGACTTTTAAGTGAGCTTTATAACTGTATTTTAAATTTTAAAATCTGACCTGGAATAACCCATATGTAAAGAGAAGAGCTTTGTCAGAACAGATGCTGCTTCACTTGGTTCCCACAGATCTGGACTTGATACCCTGAATACAGTGGTCCTCAAAAGTGTGGCCTGGAGACCACTGGTGCTTCCCCAGTCCACAGAACCAGAGAGAGCAACATTTTAAGTCTAAAAAAGTCTGATGATACTGATGTGTGGGACTGACTGTGGGGAGCTGAGCTGAACCCAAAATGGCTCAATTATACATGTCTGTCCCTAAACCTAGAATAGAACTGAACCATCCTCCTGAAATTTTGTTGAACTCAGACCAGAACTGAACTGGAAGAACTTCAGCTAGGGCTGAACCCAAACAGAATCACAATAAAAGGTTTAAGGGCTTCTCTCCTTGGACTTCAAGTACTACCTGTGTGCGTCCTTATTCTGTAAGTGCAGAGTACCATCAGCACCTGGGGTGTTCAGCCGAACATGAATCCAAAACATCAGCAGCGCATTTACAGTTTCCACTAGGGAATTTGCAGCACTAGGTATAAACCAGTGGAAGGAAAAGGAAACACATTTTCCCTTTAATCAGACTTGGACCTCTGCTGTCATCCACCCTCTGCCTTACCAGGCTTATCAGTTCCCTTACACTGCTTTCCTTCTTTTATTTAGACTGTAAGCAAAGACGTGACTAAACACAGGCTGCAATATTGCTGCCATTTACTCCAGTGGGAACCAGAGCTGCTCTGTCCATATCCATACATTTTGCTAACTTTCCAAGATATTCTTGGACAGTATAAACTAAATAAACCTAGTTGCCTCACCTGGCAAAAAATGTGATGTAACTGCTTGTCGTTTTCTATTTTAAAACGTAGGCACATCATCTGCAATTAAATGCAGCTGTCGGGATTACAATGATGTGATATTTTTAAGTCTCCAAGTCTAGCCGTTCCAATACCAGATATAATACAGTTGCTTAGATTGTGACTGAAAAAGAAAAAAAAAAGCTGGCAATCAGCAACAGAGGAAGCACAGAAAGGAAACTCCCCGCAGCTGTGCAGTGCTGTGCTGAGGAATGATATATAAGAAGGTCTCTGGTTCTCTCTGCTCCCTAGTGCCTGTTTGCATTGTTTACAAATGTACTTTCTCACAACTGGTACTACAAAACTATCCGTGACGTGACAGTGTAAAACCGCCTCAGCTGTGCTTTGGCTGCTGCAACAACAGCATACTTCATGTCTTAGAGTTACCGATCATGAGTTACTTGTGTGGTTTCCAGTGCCGTCAAGGTCACAGTAAATATGCTAATGCATCGACCTGAAACAACCCATAGGAGTATTTAATTTTATGTCTGTGTTCCTAGAAGGCTAACGTGTGTGCCTGAGGAAAAAATCAACATTTGCCTTGGTTTAACAGATGTATTGGAATATTATTTATCAATTATTCAAAAGCAATTTAAACCCCTTGTATCAAATTTATTGCCTGGAAATAATCCTAGATAAAGCATTATGTTGATTAAATAAAAATATTGCTTTAAAATTGCCAAATAAGTAGCATTTCTGAAGAAGCTGGCCACATACTTAATGGTTTTGGGGTGGGGTTTTTTTTGTTTCTTAAATCCAGCTTTGCTCTTAAGACTGCACTGTTACATTCTGCACCCACATAAATTCTCCACTCTGCTGTCAGCCACAGGAAAATAAAAGGATCTAAGCTCACTGAATATGACTAAGTGTGTGTCTTCATGCAGAATCTTGTAGATAAACACCATATTAAGCATATGCAGTATGTAAGCTCTACCAGCGATACTTTCAGTTAACATTTTTCCATGGAAAGTATTTCCCGCGTACAGTATTGTCGTGGTTTAAACCCAGTCAGGTAGGGAAGGCATGTAAAGGTTTCCATAGCTAACCTCCAAATACCCTTAAATCTTCCCAAATCTGTACCATTAGTCTGAAGTGACTGTACAAATGGGATTCACACGGTGGCAACACTTCTAGCAGCAGCTGTAGCAACCACCTTTCCGGCTTTTCCAGAGGAGAGGCATTCGCCAGCGGAGCAGACCACAGCTGGCTCGCTGGGGCTGCCTGCAGCTACGAAGTAGCGTGTTCCATCACTGCAGGACCTTGGGGTTTGCTTTTCCCTCTTACTGTTACCGCGATCCGGACAGGAAAGGAAAGGGCTGACACTGCTCAAGCCCATGTGCCACTCAACACCTATGTGAGGATCGAGAAAAGTTCTTCAATGATACGATAGGAAATGACTCCACCTCACTGTTACAGCTCTATGAATCACAGCTTTCACTCATCTATAGTACTTTGGTTTCAAATATTCATATAAAAGGATGTGCAAAAGATGTTTTTTGTATTCAATAGTAGATGGATAAATCTACGAGAACGTGCACTCATGCCCACAGCACTGCGGTAGGCACAAGCTGGATATTACTTTACTACACAGTTTTCATCGGTGAAAGTTTCTTCATTTTTAGGCTGTTCAGATTAAAGTAATGGAGCTAAATACATACAGCATTCGATATAACATTGCTGTGTGTGTGACATGATGGTACCAACACCTGTATGAAGTCTCGTTTAGCACATGCAGCTAGGAAGTGACGTCCCTATAGAGTAATGAAATCAGCAGTTTCTAATGTCAGGAAAACTCGGGGGTTTAGTAATTTCTAATTTCATTTTAGACACACTCACTAAACAAGCAACAGCCCGAACCACGCACCCACATGCTGAGCCTACTGCAGCTCCTCCAAACCCCTACAAAGGAGCCCCCTCGGTGGACACACACACACACACACACACACACACACACACACACACACACACACACACACACACACACACACGCAGCGGGGGCGGCAGCAACCCGCGGAAGGGACCCGCTCCTCCCGCATTCGGGCTCACATACGGCAGGCTGAGCGCCGGCGGCCAACGCTGCCTGCGGTCTGCTCCCCGCGCCCGACTGGAGCTTACACCGCACTCCTGAACCCTAAGGCCCAGCCCTCCCCGCCGCAGGCCTCCCGCCCGAGGCCCACCTTCCCGGCCGGGAGGAGGGGAAAGACGCGGCCTCGCGTCCCTGCCCCGCTGCCCACAGCTGACATGGCGGCCGCTGCACCCCCCCTTCCCCGCCCCGTCCTCAGCGGGGCCGACAGCTGCTGCCCTTCCTCGGCTGGCCCGCAGCAGGGCGGTGGCGGCGGCTTCCGGCGAAGCCCTCTTGCCTTCAACAAAGATGGTGCTCCCCGCGCAGGCTTCGCGGGGGTTGGGGTACCCCGTGTAGTTCCCTACTTCCCTCTTGTAAGTACGGGTCGAGGATGCTCTCCCCTCACAGCACTCGCCGCCCCGAACGCTCTGTCTTCCGCCTGCTTGGCGGTGCGGTACTGGCGGTCCCGCTCGGCTCGGCTCGGCCCGTCCTCCCCTCCCGCTGCCCCGGGCGCCGCCGAGGGGGCAGCAGGAGTAAAGGCGTCAGCCCGAGCGGTGCCGAGGGGCCGTACGGCGGTGGCTCCGGCACTGTGGGGCCGGGCTTCGCCGGGGCGGGCTGGGCCGGCGGGGCCGCGGGCCGGCGGGAGCGCCCGCCCCTGCTGCAGCCGCTGTACCCGGCAGGAGGGCGGAGGGAAAGCACGGGGAGGGCTGTGGTGGTGTTGCCTGCCTTGGGGCCGCGGCGGGAGGCTCGGGGCGCGGGGACCGGGAGGTCGGGCAGCCGGGCCCTGGGCGCTGCAGGAGCGGCAGCTGCCAGAGCTCGGCCACGGAGAAGTTGAAAGCAAAACTTGATCTTCTTGGAGGGAGATGTTTAGCCTGTAGCCAAACGCACCCATTGGTTAGGCAGAGGGACCTTAGTCGTGGCAAAGCCGGCGCAAGGGAACGCGCTCGCAGTCATGATCAGCCCGGTGCAGTTGTAGTTTGGGCAGATGCCAATGTTTCTAGCCAAGAACTAAGGGAATGTGCTTTTTAGGATCAGAAGGGGTCTCTTTAGGGTCAAGGCTTTAGAAAGTTTTATCCCTGTTCGTGGACAGATTCTGTGTCAGATGCGGAAACGGAAAAATGCAGACCTGCCTGTGTTGGTGTGGTGATGAGTCAAAGACTGTGCTCGTTCAGCGGGGGTGTGGGGTGGGGTGGGTGTATATTGGTTCAAGTTTGTCTCTACAATGAAAGATACGTATTTTTGGAAGGGCCTGGGTAAGGTTTGAGACATGTTTTGGGTAAACAGACATGTCATCTTTTTACTTTAGCACCAGCATTACTAGAGAAAATTCAGTTTAGAGCTTACTTTGGGTTCCTAGATATAGGATTAAAATTAAATTGAATTAATTGAAATTAATCCCATGTTGTGCTGAACTCTGTCCCTATGCTGTTATGCACCAAAATCCTGATAGATTTCCATATCTGTCTGCTTAGTGCCTGACTCACATTTCCTTCTCACTGTAAACACACACACAAAGAAATGCTTAATCTTTAAAAAGACTTGAAAAAAAAATCTTTAAAAATCAGTACACTCCATCCTGGAAATTTACTGGGCCAATGACCTTGGTGTTAAGGGCTTTAAAACCTCAGCTGCGCTCACTCTGCAGTCAGCGAGCCAGAGGCCTGTTTCAGCAGAAATTCCCCCTTCAGATCCGTGGCTTGATAGGTATTTTCTGGTGCCTCAAGATGCAAATGGAGATGGTTTGAACGGGCCTTCTTTTGAAAAGTGTTGACCTCTTTGGTCATGAAGAAGAGGAGCTCATCACGTGCTGTACAGTGACTGGAGAAGTCAGTGTTCCTCATCTGGCACATGGGTGAGGAAGCTCCTGAATGGGGATTCTCAGTGACCCATGAGAATGTGAAGTACAAGAGCCTCATAGCAGCTGAAACAGTTTACTGTCAGGGTTGAGATAATGCCCTCGGAGCTGCTGCTGGGAGCCTGCCTTGAACTCTGCAAGTGCTTTGGGAGCTCAGGGGCAGTCAGGGAATCTCTGAAGGGAGAAATGGTGGGGACCTGCTGCCTGAATTTTGCTTTAGTTGCGTGATTGCTCACAGTAATGTAAATGTAGTGCGTTACAGAATCTTCAGCTTCATCTGTCCAAAATGAGCATCCCAACACCAAATAGTGATTCTCAGAGGGCTGGAGCACCTCTCCTGTGAAGACAGTCTGGGAGAACTGGGAATGTTCAGTCTGCAGAAGGCTCCAGGGAGACCTTGTACCAGCCTTCTAGTAGCTAAAAGGGCCTAGAAGAAATCTTTGGGAGGGACTTCTTGCAAGGGCATGTGACAGGACAAGGGGGAAGGGCTTTAAGCAGAAAGAGGGGAGATTTAGATTGGATATTAGGAAGAAATTCTTCATTATGAGGGTGATGAGGCACTGTCACAGGTTGCCCAGAAAAGCTGTGGCTGCCCCATCCCTGGCAGTGTTCAAGGCCAGGCTGGACAGGGCTTGGAGCAGCCTGGTCTAGTGGAAGGTGTCCCTGCCTGTAGGGGGTGTTGGAACTGAATGGTTGTTAAGGACCCTTCCAACCCAAACCATTCTGTGATTGTATGAAATGGGAAAATACAGTTCTTGCCTGTTCTTTTTTCTGTCTCCTTGCTTGCAGCCATCTCATCTCACTCTGTGATGGTGTTTGATGTTTGAGCAGTACTTAGCAAACCAGCATTTTTTAAGGACATGTGCCTGGATAGCTTTTGATTGATTCCCAGGTGACCCCTAGACACGTGGTAGGCACCTCAAAATTCACTCTGGTATATGAGAAACTTACTAGGTGCCGTCCAGCAATGTTTCAGCACTCAGGGGAAGCGTTTTTGTAAAGTGTCTTTATCAGAGGGTTTTCCATTCCCCCTTTTGTGGTCCTGTGCTCTTGCATCCTGTGCAAGATGCTGGTTACATGCCTCTATGTTCTGTTGGTTGCCTACTTCAGATTTCAACAACCAGGCCAACCAACCAACCTTTGATGGGGCCTTGGGAGTCAGTCAGCGCCTCTGATGATGCAAAGGCTTCAGGAGGTGTCTTACAGAAGCTGTGAAAATCTCTGCCTCTCCTTGTATCCTTGAGCTGAATGAAGTGCCGTTTCTGCATGGTCTAGCTGTTCAAACAGCAGCTTTTATTTTAATAATCAGAAACTCTCTTGGTAATCACACTCAACACCTGCTGCAGTTTTTTTACTTCATTATTTAGTAATCAGAAAGTATTTAATTGTGTTACTCTGTCATTTTCCTTTTCAAGTGCCATTAGTGAGCCTAGGGATATGTTTGTCGTTAAGGACTGGACTAGACATCTTGATTCAGTTCATAGGTCTGGCATGGACTCCAGGCATGGTCTTGAGTGAGCTGTTTGTTCTCTCTGGAGCTTGCTTGCTCTTATATATAGTGGCTATAAAATGCATCTTTTTCAGCTTTTGGCTAGTCGGTGTGTTAGTCAAGAGAAATGGAACCTGGCAGAAGGCATCGGATTGCTTCTTGTGAAGACATTAGAAGGGTAAATACCAGGGGGGGAGAAGAGCTACTTAAGCTAAAGAACAGTTTTGGCAGGACAAATGCTTATAAATAGAAGGTGGATAAATTTGAGGTGGAAATTCAGAGAAAATTTCTCATCATCAGATCAGTCTTGTTCCAGAACAGCCTTCCTGGATGAGTCAGGGGGAAGAATGACCTGGTGCGTAAGGGACATTTTTACCTCTCCTGAAATTAAAATGCATTACGTAGGCCAGAGCTACCTGCTGACTGTCTCTGCTGATGATGTCTGGCACTGTTGTAACAGGAATAGCATTAGAGCCACAAGTAGCAGAGGTCAGGTGTGACATCTCTCTTAACCTTTTTTGGGTAGTCTCTTAAGGACTGGCAAATACTGTAGCTGCCCTTTGTATGGACCTTGACCACTTAGTAAGTGGGGTTATTTGGTATGTTTTTTATTACAGCAAAGGACTGGTCTTCACGGTGCCAAAAGTTCTCTTCTTATCTCACACTTCCTAGAAATGGCTGAATTTTAGCTTGTGAGATGGTGAAATCTGAGCAGAAATAAGATGGTGGGGATCATTAATGGTTTTCCCAGGTTGATGATTCTGAGTTTGGCATTCTTTCTAAAGGTTGCCAGATATTAAACATCACTTCTGGATATTAAAGGTTGGAAGTATTTTCACCTTCATGCATTTCCTTACTCCTTTTCTCATGCTCTAGGTTGCCAGATGGATGCCAGAGACAAGCAGCTTTTGCGCTCCCTGCGCCTGGAGCTCTGCACAGAGGTGCTGGTGGATGGAGTTGTTATTCAGTATCTCTACCAAGAAGGGATTCTCATGGACAGTCATGTTCAAGAAATAAAAGCCCAAACCACCAGTCAGAGGAAAACTATGATGCTCCTTGATATTCTCCCCACCAGAGGACCCAAGGCTTTTGATGCATTCTTGGATTCTTTGCAGGAGTTCCCATGGGTTAAAGACAAGCTGGTGATGAAGCGTAAAGAAATAACAGTCCAAGATCCTGCAGGTAAGGCCAGAATTATTTTTACTGATAGTTTGAAGCTTGTTCTCAAGATGTGATTTTGAAAGTATTGAATGTACCAGTAACTTCAAGTTATGTGGTGTGTGGATATGGAGCATGATACCGAGAAAAGGGGACAAACTGCATTCCTGGAAGTCAGCTTAACACCAGGAAGTATTGCAAAGTTTGGGGAGTGAGCAAGGCTGAGCTTCAGGAGACCAGGAGATAACAGGAGAGGCTGCCTTGAGAGAGGCTGTGATGTAGGAGGACACAGACTCCATTACCTCAGAGTGAACAGACTAGGTAGTTTTGACTAGCTGCAGAACAGACTTTTCACCATCCACACCTGATTATTGCTTGTTTAAGTATTTGCTTTACAGTGGCTTGTTTCTGGATTGTTCATATGATCAGAATTTTTATTTACTTACTTTTATTATGATTTTAATGTTGCTTTGATTTAGTACTATATGCTAATTTAGATTTATTTAATTTATTATGTTTAACACGTTGCAAATACCTAGGATCATTACTTCCAAAATTACTAGCCATTGCTTGGTTGTACAGCAAATTTAGGAGCTAACCAATTTAGTAGGTGTTATATAATCTAATTTAGTCAAATCTCTGGCTTTCTGACATTTACATGTACTTCTAAAACTAGTTTTCCCGATTTGATGTTTGTTCAGAAGTGATTTCTTTACCAATCTGTGCGTGCAGTTGTTGGGCTGTTTTGGAATAAAGACGACTGCTTAAAATGCACGTTTCTTGCCCTAGACTCTGGCAGCATGCCCTGTCTGCTAACCTCATGTTACCACTGAGATAGCAAAATAGTCCTCACTTGGGAACAAGATTTCCAAGCAGTCTGAATAGCCTTTCTCGAAGCCTGCCACCTGCTGCCATTTGAGTTTGGTCATACGCTTTTTGATGCACATGGACATGTGGTTTTCCAGTGTCAATGTGCCTTGCGTGGCATTGAAAGCCTGTGAAGGTGGGTGACTGAGACCCACTGACTATCGCCTGTGTCTCAGCTGCATGTTCAGGAACGTTTTGTCAAGATCTGCTGGACAAATCTGACATTATCCTACCTTAGGACGTTTTTAATGGGCTATCGTGACAGCTTCTCTTCCTGTTGCGTCTCTGTGGAGGAAGCTTTATGCTTGCTTGGCAACAGGTAAATAATTTTCAGAGTTTGGGAGATAAATGTCCTGTGCTGCCCATACGGGAAAATACTGCAAGATCTCAGCACAATGCAAACTTGTGTGTTCTGGAAAAGACCTTGCAGGCTGTTATGACAAATCCTGTCATGCTAATGCTCTTTATTTGCCTTACAAATCAAGCTGCTCATTTGCTAATTGCTGGTTAAGCTGTTGAATAATCCTTACAGTTTTAGAAAAGCAAATACAGCCATGGAGTATTAGTTTGTTACTAGAAAAAATGCTTCTGAGTTTTGTTCTTTTGATTGTTGTGTGGATTACTTGTTCTTGATCACTTGTGGCTAATGTGCTGGATTTATGTCTATCAGGTTCTCTGGTTTCGAGTGGGCTGACTGTACTTGATAATCCTATTGCCAAATTTTGTGTGTAAATTAGAAGAGGCTTCCAGATTAGATCAAAGATTACTGTTATGTTTACTGTGGCAACCCAGAGTGTAAGAGCAGGGTAAGAGGCAGCTCGCCGAGGGTTTTTTTTCTTTTCTATATATTTAGGCATGTTCTTTAGAAGCCAAAGAAAGAGAGCACCATCTGTGCCCTAATAAATGCTGAGTGCACCCTGGAATGAATTGGAAACTACGGCTGCATCATCAGTGCTGATTACATGCAAGGAAATGTGGTTTGGGATAAAAAGCCTCGCTTTACATTCTAAACAACAAACTTGTAAGCTTTTGTCTAGGCAGAATACTTGAGGAAATGCTTGGCCTTAAGCATGGAAAAAGACATTGGCTCTAACGAAACTATAGGCATACTTTAAATTAAATATGTTCCTTAGTGCCATGCTAGATAACTTCTGCCCTGTTTGAAACAGTTCTTACAAATGGTGATTGGTCAATGTCAATTTCTTTTCAAGAATCCATTTGTATTGAAAGAAGCCTGCCACACACACTTTACCTTTTTCTTAGACCCTAAAACTTCAAAATTGAAGTAGGTTTTAAGGCCCCAGATTTTTAAATCTTTTTTATTTTTTTCCATTGGATCATGCATATTTATGGAAATGGCATGCCTGCTGTTCACTTGTTTATGCTCAATTAAAATTCTGTTTACTCAAGCAAAATATCCACAGTTTTTGCAGGACTAAGGACTCATGGCAAGTTGTTCTGTGAAGGAAGGTTTTATTTTGTAGTCTTTCACTTCTCACTGGCTAAACATAAGACTTTTAAAGTCAGTAAAAGTAGACTATTAGGTTTGCTGTATCTGAATGTGAAAACTGGCGCGTGCATAGTGATTTTTATATGCAGACCTTTGGATTATTGTGTGTTTTGTTCAAAGAGATCATGCTTTCTTTGAAAGAGATCAGGCTTTCTATCTTTGCTTCAGCTGAGAAATACAGTTTGTTGGTTCCCAGTTAAAAAAAAAATAAATCACAACTGTAATTGTTGAGAAGCTTTTAATTTGTTTTCTTCCCCTAGTAAAAAAAAAACAACACTCAAACCCAAACCAGAAAAACCCCAAACAACAAACCAACTGAATGAAACAAACAGGGATTTCAGAAGGACAGACATAAAAACATTTTTGGTGATGTAGTGTAAACAGATCTGATGGACCAAGCAGCTGCGAAATGGAAGACAAAATCTGAGACCTAAACAAGACGCTGCCACTGACTCACTGGGAGCCTTTGGGCAAATCCTTCTGAGGAAATGTATTTATTGATTCCTAACTTGTGTAACTTGGTGTAATGTTCGTGGAGCAGCATAGAATGTAAAGGTAAATTGGCTCAGGATTCAATCCAGAGTGTGCTGTTTGGCTACGTATAAGTAATTGCACTTTAAAACGTGCGATATCCTGAGTCCTGTTGTTGAACGTTAGTTGACTTAAAAGTATTCTGTATACTGCTATCTGCTGTAGTTCCAAGGAACACAGAATACCCTAATCCTGCAGAGCATGAGGAATAGTTTTTCCATGGGAACCAGGAGAGCGACATGCAGGCAGCTGGAGCCACTCGCATCTGTGCAATTGCAGCAAAGAGACCCAAGATTCCTTCCCCTTCCTTATTTACTTTATGCACAAGACAGTCTTTTGCCTAGGGTCACCTTTCTCCAATCTCATATGGATCTGTCCGATGGCCAGAACTCTGGGGAAGGCTTTTCTTAAAGCAGGGAAAGGCATCATTGTCAAACCCCAAAATTTCAAGAAGAAAATTTAAAGCTGTGTCTTTTTGGAGGTAAGTATCTGTGACTTTTATTTCAAGATGATAAACTGTGTTTCTTACTTGTCGAACCTATGATAAAACAGTTCACCCTGTCCATTGCAAGACTTAATCGCTATAAACCTCAACCACAGCATGAGTTCCTGGTTTCGAAGATCAAAACTTCTGCCATGGTAAGGGTTAACAAAAATAATGTGGGTCTGTTTCATTGGGAAAAGATTATTCTGTTTTTTTCTGCCCTAGTTTGGATAACTTTATGCCTTTGTCAGGAACATAAATCTTCAATCTAGTATTATAATTCCTATGAAAAACTACAGCTGTTGGCAACAGAATTCCATTCTTTCTAGGAACAGCAAGCAGTTACCCAACATTTTTTGCACTGAATAAAAAAAATACAAGCTTCAATGGTTTTTCTTGCTCAGAATGTTTTTTTGATCTCTCTCTGCTCAGAAATGTCTCTGCCCAATTATTATATTTCTCTCTGTACTGTATGTTGCTGTAAAATTATTTACTTCTGAAAGTGTTAGTACTGCTCCTCTTCGTAGCTTAGATGATTTCGCCTTTCCACAGGAAATCACAGCATACTGAGAAAAGGTCTGAGATACAGCATTTGCCAAAGGAGTCCTGCAGCAGCTTTTGCTATCTGGGAAAAGTTAGTGAATTTGAGGCATGGAGTTACACAGAATTGTCTTGGAAAAGCTGTTCTCTCACAACTAAGCAAGGAATATTTTCTAATGCATGATTTTGCTGCTGTTGTGGTGCCTCATCAACAGTCTGCATTAGGGTCCTGTTAAACTTCTGTGAGTTTTTTTTATGTGAACAGGTTTTGGTGTTTGGGATTTTTCCCTGGATGTGTGGGGAGTGTGTGTTCTCATATAGCTATATAAAGCTTTGTATTGTGTAACACTTTGGACGAAGTATGCAAATACAAAACAAAGCAAAATACGTACTTCTCTTGAGAAAGCACACACTACCTCCCCCCTCCCTGCTTTCTCAAAGTCCTTTTTACACAGCTGGATTGTAGGTTTCTAAGAATTAAGATTCAAATGCAACAGCATTAGGACATGGGAAAGTTTAGCGTCTCCTCTTACCTTTTGTTGGCTGCTTCCTGCCCTCTTCCTGTCTTGCTTCCTCTTATGTCTAATGCGGTGAGGAAACAGCCTTGTCTTTGCCTTTTCCATTTGGATGTCAGATAGGAGAGCAGCTGATTAATTCCTTTTCTCTAAAATGGTGGCAGAAGACTGTTGTTTTTTTTTTTTTTCTTTCCCTCCCCTTTCTTGTATAGTCCAGTGGCAGAAGGGGGAGTTTCCTGCTGTGTATGTCTGAAGGAAAGGGATGGGCTTAGCAGCCTTGGCCACACTGGATAGACCTGGAGATGAAGGAATGCCCTTGTGCCACATCCCAGTCCTGGAAGCTATAGAAAATGTTCTCTGCAGAGATTCGAAGGCATTCTCATAGAAGAATTTCCCAAACTCTTTTCCACATTCCCATCCTCCCTGAAAATTGGGTGTTACATTTATGGCTGTGGCTGTGTTCTGACTTCAGCGATATCTGTGAAGTCTGGCATTGAAGGTTTGTGTCCACAATATTAACAGCATGCATCAGGACATGGACAAGTAATTAACTTCTCTGGTTCTACAGAGTGCTCTG